GAATCGCCACACCACCTGACCACCACCACCACCATTGGCGAGGGCTTCTTTGCCTATTTAATTCCGACTCGAAGGGCTCCCTGCTCTTTTGCGCGTCGCCATGGAATTGAAGGATCCGTGATTTATGTCTGACACCTATGAGCCTGGCGCTCTCGAGTGCATGTCGATTTTTTTTCTCGCCACATTTCCCAGTCTTTTGCCTTTGTTTGCTCAAGTATTTTGCACTCTTTAAGCTGTTGCCAAGGCCGACATTTCTTTGGCATCGAGGCTAGGCTCGTAAAAAGCATTGGCGTTTCGACACGGAGCTACCCTAATCTCTAGGTAAGGGGCTTTTCATATATAAATATGTACATATAAAAACATTCATATATATATGTATAAACTCGTATACAAAAAGCTGATTTATTTTTTGCACGACCCTGAGCTACTGTTCACGCCCAAAACCACTCCTCATCATCAGCAGCGGCCGCCTCGACTCGACTCGACTCGGCTCGGCTCCATTGTCATTATCAGACCGGGCGCTGCCATAGTGACAAACTAAATTAATGATGATTCTCTTTGATGGCTTTTGCCAGCGCGCCCTGTTTTGTATTTAAATAAATATTTGATTAATGCTCCTCAGGCGAAAACGACGAAAAAGACTCCTACATGCCATGCCAGAGATTTTTTGCCTGCCTTTCGCTTGGATTCTAGATTCTGGATTTCACAAGATGCCATATTTCGCCTGATGCCATTTATTTCATAAATTATATTGTTTTATGGGTTTTTATTATGGGCTTTTTATCGCCACTGATTGTGATAAATGATTGCTCCTAGAGAGCAAGCGACTGCCCCCGGCTAGTGGTAGTGCTGAAAGCAGAGTTTTTGCAATTAATGCGGTGTCGATTTAAAGACTACGCCTTTGCCCATTTTCCCTTTCCAATTTTCAGTTTCGCCGCCAGACACAATCGCTTGTTTTCGAAGAGCTATCAGTTTCCGCCCACCATCAACTCCGCATTCCTGAGTCCAATCTCATCGTCGTCCTCGTCGCCGTCGTGGCTAATTAAATTTTAATATTACATTTTTCGGGCGGCTACAAAATGTGCTACGTACGCTCGGCATCCGCTTGTTAAATTATCTTTGCAAAAGTTTCGCCTCTCCGAATGCCGCAAGCCGAAAATGCGAAACAAAAAATCTACTCGTACTCCCACGTGTGCCCAGTCCCAGTCCCAACTCCGGCCGGGGTTCATGCAACATTCATGGCAAGCTCTTAGGCCCAGAGAACACTTTTACGATGTCATAAAATAATTAATAACGCCACTAAACAACGTAATTACGCGCCTAAGCCCAATGCATACAGGTGTACTATGTGTGTGTGTGAGAGGATCTGGATGGGATTGGGATACGGATGGCGGTGGCTTGTGAGTGGGGCGGATTATGTGGTTGCCGACGCCTAGATATTTGCCACGCCGCGTCGTGTAAACAAAATTGCAACTTTGTATTTAATTAGGCACGGGCGCTTATTCAATTTGCCGCCCTTACCTGCCCTGCCGGCCCGTACTTACCGTAAATCAGCTCACGTTCAAAATTTGCCGTCGGCACAACGATTAGGAAGACCACGCCCGGCATCCTGTCAACGTCCCGCCGTAGCCTGCGAATGGATGAACCCGAAAAAGTGGCCGTTTAGTTTTGCAAATTTGTGTCAGACCATCTTAATGGCCTCCTCCTGCTTGCCAAGTTGGAGGCGAGTAGGAAAACTAAGGCGAGGCATTCGTTTTAATCCACAGTCAACCGGAGACTTGGCAACTCCACTTGCCCGGAGAGACTTGCCAACGCCTAAGACGTATGCATCCTCCCGTGAGTGCATCCAAAACAGTGAGCCGTGTTTAGCATAAGCCGTAGATACACTCTGCGACACTGAGACAAAAAGTGAATACTAGACACAAAAGCACTTTTCAAAATATAATTCTTTAAAAATTAGTTCGTTTTAGAAAGAATAAAAATATAAAGAATATAAAATAAATGCTCAAGAAACTATTGCACAGCTCTACTTTAAAGTTTTTTATAAAAATCTTCATGCATCGATTTTGTAGTCATACATATTTTTCTTCAAGTGCCTCGGCAACAGCCCATTATCCCCTACTTTTATGTTCAGTCACTGCATTAGCATCTCTGTCCGGTTTCATTTTCGCTCTTCAGCCTTAACTTCTTGGAGTTGGAGCTGGAGTCGGAGCAACTTTCCACCGTAAATGGGCTCTGAAGGTTGCTATAAGTAGTTTCAGCTTTGTTTGTATTTTTCTAACGCGAGTTTAGCAGTTTTCCCCAAGTTCTGCTGGTTGGCATGCTGATGGTCTGCAGATTAATGCAACAATTTCTTAATTAAAGTGCCTTGGAGGCCAGGCAACTCCTTCCGCTTGCCATATTCCCGGCGGTAATTCTCTCCTGTATCAATAAAAGGTGAAGGATATTTGCCCAACTGCTCGAAATTAAAATGCCATTAGCACCGAGAGTTGAGATAAAAACGAAGCGAGTGCGATTAAACACAGAGGAGGAGAACATAAAAGTCCGGATTCCGGAGTATTACTACCCCTGGAATGCTGATGCCCTGGGTTAATACCCCGAGCTGCTTGCAGGATCTTCTCGAGAGCCGGCGAAGCGAAAGTGTAAACGAATAAGGATCCGTGATTTAATGGAGCTGCGATTTTTACTCTGTCATAAAATGACGGTGATACTTGAGCAGGAAATGCATTTCCTTTTTTTTCACAAACAGGAAGAATATTTAACAGGGTTTTGGATGACCGAAATAAGGGTAAAATGTTAAAAAAAAAAAATATGATTAAATAAAATGGGTTTATAACTTTAAATTTAAGGGAAAATTCAGAATCTATTTTTCCTTTTTTTTTCTATATCTCACCACTTAAAGGTGCACCTTGTCTGTGGCTATGAGCTGGTTAACTAAGTCCACAATAAGCAGCTTCCCAGGAAAATCAATATTTGAATACACCTTATGAGCAGCCAGTTGACATTTTTCGGGAACCCTTACCCCGGATTCTCTGGAAGCACGAGTCAACTTTTTCCGCAAACAGTTGGCTTTTTTTTTTTCTTTTTTGTTTGCAACACTTTTGCTTAAAAACTTTTCACAGCAGTCCCAAACAAACGGCCTACTCACACTCGTCTGGGCCTCTGTCCTGTGTTCTTGGTCCCTGGGAACCCGTTCATCCTTTCCCGTTCCGTTGCGTTCCGCTCCTGGTTCAGGATCTGGGCCTGTCCTGGCCGGACTCAGTCAGCCGTTCCCCACAAGCCTCTTAGGAACTTTCGAGCCAAACAACCGAAGCCACTTTGCAGCACGTTCACTGTTGCACTTTTTTTATTTATATTTTGTTTTTTCTTACCACTTGCCATCTTTCATTTTGCGGCATATTTATTAAAAAAGGAGGAAGCACAAAAAATGGAGGAAAATTCTTTTATATTAACCGAAAATATTTATTTTCTTGCTTGCTGCCTTCGTTTTTGTGCGCACTTTTCTGATTAATTCCGTAACTATATATTTACACAACTTGGGAGAAGTTTTCGCCGCGATGACGACGAAGCCGTGAAGCCACTTGTGAAGAGTGCCAGGCCCGGGAGCTTTGCCTTCCACTTCTCGCCAGGATTGCCCTGGGTGCCCGGGTTCTTCAGTGTCGATCCGAGTGTTTGTGTGCCCCCAAACAATGGGCCTGCCTTCCACTAATTTGTATGACTACCGCACCAGGGCCGACCTACCGCCACTAATTAGGGCACGAGAATTGCATTAGTTTTGGCATTCGGCAAAAATAATTACAAAGTGCAGTGCGAAGAAAGGCCAATTGAAGAAGTGTGCTGGGAGCCAAGGTTCGGGTCTCCGCGGGGCCTCCATAATTACTTCCAATAAGTTTTGGCCACACCAGCCTTGGTGACCAGTGTGGGCAAGGAGGGGAGGTAGTCTTTCTCTGTCAGCTTTGATTTCATGGCACGCCACATTCTTGGCGGTCAGTTATGCTTTTCTCCCTCTCTCTGTGGGAGTTTAATGCCATCTTAATTAAGGACGCTAATTGGTTATGTCTGCGACTCGCACGAAAGAAAAAGCGCCACTAAATAATTGAGAAGCTGAGAAAGTAAAGGGTATTTCAGGAGACTCTCCAACCCTTTCTCATATGAGACAGTGGTTTATCGACGTGAACAACTTAAGCTTCTATTCTCCCAAGTAAATAATAGAGGAAAGTATATTTTGTAGAGTTTTATTCAAGAAGTTTTTAGCCTGTTCAAAACAGACATTGAATTGGCGAGCTTGTGGTACGAAAAAGAAATGACTCAATTATATAAATATTTAAGAAGGCCACAGAGAAAAAGCGGGTAAAACTTTTAGACAACAGAGCGGCAACCATCGTATTAGGACTTAGGTGGACCGCCATGCAAACGGCTTTGGCATAATGCATAATCATTTAAACAAGGATAAGCCCGTCCAGAATGGCCGCAAGTTGAGTCCTGCATTATGACACACGCTGCTGCCGTTGGTGGATGGAAAAGTCCTTTTATGGCCAATTCCAGCGGACAGGCTTGGCCCGCAGCTTAAAGCCGGGGCGATAAGGACGATGCAGCCAAAAGAGCCAAAGTCCAAGGCCGCTCTTTAACCGCTCTCCCGTGTAAGGTGGTTAGGTGAACTTTTCCGCTTTCCGCTTTTCTTTTTTTGTAGATACCTGATACCCGCCAATGTGTGGCTGTACTGCGATGCGGGTCCAATGCCCAGTGGTGCTATTTGCCCGAATATATTATCATTAATTTCAAATTATGAAAAAGTGGGGACTCAGTCAACGAGTTTTGGCTTTGGTAGGGACCAAAAAGGTAACATAGGTGCGCCATAAAGGTTAACACGTCTAGGAATTTGTTTGTCCCAGCAGCGTATTTAAAGGAAATCCGAGGAAAAGGATCTAGTATATAATATAATTACTCTACTCCTAGGAATGATAGAAACTAAACCATTCTGCGTTCTTCTTTGTTTTCAGTTGGGACGCGTGCTGCGCAACTTCAACATCACCAAGATTAACGATCTGGAGCTGATCTCCAACACCACCGATCGCTTGGACATTACCTTTCACTTCTTCGGCGTCAAAGGAGACTCACAGCGCATCAGGGACGCCATTACTCGCATGGTGGAGCGCGGCAGGATAGGGAACTTCACCCTGGTGGCCAACTTCCATCACTTCGACGAGAACCCGCCTCTGAGCTTGCTGGTAAGTGTGTGGGCAGCTCTAATCCATCTCTTCTTTTTAACACAAAACGTGGCCATTTTTATTACATCCAGGATATATTTGATTGACTCTGAATAGAAGCGCAGACGCATTTGTAAAGCATTCCCGCAGATATCTATTGAAATTTTTGCCAGCTCGCAACATATAAATTTTAAATTTCGTCGTCGCAGCCACTCTTTCCATTGGCACATCCATCAATCGAGGGCATTCCATCATTGATTTCCGCCCAATGGCATTTTCATTAATTCCAATCGGGACAGGATGGCCGTCTATTAAAAGCGTAATAAATATACTGGCCGGCGCACGCATTACTGGGCGCGGCTCTCGTTCCATTTCCGATACATATTAAACAATAATTTATTAACTATTGAGGCGCGTGTTGGAAAAAAAACAAACAACGCGGTAATAGCCAATGTAGCAGAGTGCCGTGTTAATAAATATGCACATAAATATGTCAACAGTGTGGCACTTGACACTCGGCCCAGCAGCGAAAATAATTATTTATTAATTGCGGCCGCCTGCTCGGCCGGTCGAACAATTGGCCTCATCAGACGTTCGGACAGACGGCCTGCAATTAAGTTGCATTAACATGACGAACAAGCCGCCAAACCTCAGCGGAGAGTTTGACGGGGCTGAATATCCGTAGTATATCCCATCGGAAACCCCAAAACCAACACCGAAACCCCAACCCAGAGCCATCCAGTGTCTAATTAGTGGAACATTGTCTCGATTTCAGGACCTGAGCGTCAATCAACCGCAAGCGGGTGTGCGCGAGGCCAGCGAGTTTATCATATCCTGCTCCGCCCAGGGCTCATCTCGGATGCAGTTTCAATGGTTCAAAGACGGAGCTGCGGTTAATGCCAGCCGGGCAACGAGGTAAGTGAACTATACCCGAGAAGCAGCTGCTTATCTGCTGGAAATGCCTGGGTCATGCCACACCATAAACCCGAGAGTTTGAGTTTTAATAAAATAGTATAAAACCGAAATAGGGAAAATCAACCCCAGCTCCTTAGCAGTCGCCATATCCGCGTCCGTATCCGTCGCCAGCCAATGTCACTCTCGGGAAGACAGAGAGACAGACTCGCGAGGGACATCCCGGCAGCGCACAAGTGTTCAATTTGACTTTATGATTTTTACACATCAATAAACATGACATAAAAATGCCTGGCAAAATAAAAACGAAGGGAAACGAAACGAAACGGCCAGAAAGGATAAATAAGTCAGGCCGAGATAAAGATTTGTCAGCCGTCGTGGCCGACGGACGGCCCCAGTCGCAGTGGCAACTCATATATAGTTGGAGTCGAAGTTCGGAGCCGAAGTCGGGGTCCTGGTCAGGGCCGAAACCTAACCGCAGTAAGCCTAGCCGAGTGATTGATCATAAATCCAACAGGGTGAGGCACATGTGTGGCCAACATATACGAATGGCACTGCTTCCAGCTCCTCCACCTCCTCCTCCTCCTCCCTTCTCGCTCGATCCCCTCTTGGGTGTATTACATAAAAAGCATATGGCCGTAACTAACGAGGGGCTGTTACTTGGGTGACTTGGCTGGGGTTATGAGGGCTTAGCCCTTCCCAGCGAGGGAGCTGCGAGCATGTCGCCTTGACAATTCGCCTTGCAGCCTCACCACAAAGCTCCAACTTTAAATGTGTTGCGTGAATGGGAAATGAGAGAATGGGGAGGTCCTTGGTTCTCCGCTCTTGTCCTTGTCCGGGGAATGTGGCTGGCATGGACGGGTTTGCAGTGCGGTGCTGATGCCGATAGAATTCGCAATTCATTAACAGAAATTTAAGCGCTGGCAGGAATGCTTTTAGTGTTCAGTGCCAAAGTCTAGTTTTGCAAAAGCATGTCACGCAGCGCCGCTGTCAAAAATGTTTGTTCAAACAGCCTACGAATTTAACTCAGAAAAGATTGTGAATATTTTGTTTCTTTCATAGCATTCAAAGGGGTTTTAAAGAAGCATATTCAGGGGTTTTTATTATAAATTTGAAGAGAACCTAAGCAAAGTTTAACTAAAGAGTTTTTAAGCTCATTCAACCATTTCTTTGAAATAGTTTCCAAGAAATTTCTTTCATTTTATTTATAAAATGAAATAAATACAGAACCCTTTGAATATAATTTAATAATTACCAAAGTTGAACCCAAACCGATGTGTTTTATTTATATTTGATGTAACATCCCAATAAAAGTTTGATCATCCGTATATTACCTTTGAAATAAATAAATATATCTATGTGTGTGGCTCATCCAACCCCAACCCCAACAAATCGATAACCGAATCTATTCCCGGAGCTGAATTTTTGTTATCCTGTGAAGCCAACTATGCGTTCCCGAACTAAAACAATTCGCCAGGACCCTTTCATGGCCAGTTCGCCAAGGCAGCCCCATTTGTGATTACTTTTATGCATATTTGTATGTGGTTACATACATCCCTTCTCGGTCTTGTTTCCTTGTCGGAACTCCGGCACCCTTTTCTCCCTCGGCAGTCGCTCCCCACGTGGCAGGACCAACGCAACCCAAACCCTTACCCAGAGCTTGGCCCAGTTGAACGCATTGATGCGTAAAAAATGACTGCCGTACAAAGCCGCAAACACATGTTTCCCCTGACTATGGGGCCAGAGTATTAGTAAATATTTTAACTAAAGTGAAGTGAGTGAAGTCATTCATTTGGACATTTACCAACTTTGCATTATACAAACGACTACACATTAAATCCGTCCGATGACTTTACTTTTGCGTACTAAAATAACCGGAAGTAAGTGAATTTTTAATGCTTGATTTCACCGTAGCAGAGGAGAGTAGTTCACTTTTGGGGAACAGTAATTTATTACCGCAATAGGGCCAATACAACCCATCTCTTGATTACTCGCCACGATGACTATTTGAAAACAATTACGGGAGTCCAACTCGAGCACCTTGCACGGGTGATGTGAGGAGAAATGCACACTTTAAGCATATTTTGCCTGAAATTTCTTGAAGAAATTTCCTCTGAAGCCCAATATCCCTCAGCGAACCTTAAGGCTCTGAAAAGTAAGGCGTTCGACCGTTAATCTATTGGATTGCCAGTCGCCGAATTTTGACCCAGTTAGCAGATGTTTATCGGGCCCAGGACCGGGACCGGGCCGAGGCCATAACCCACTTAATGAATGCAATTATTTTCCAATCACGGCGCTAACGCATCCCAAAGCCGGCGGCCAAGGAGCCCGCAAGCCATAACAGGACTACTCCCGGGGCTCGCAGGACCCCCCAGGTTGGGGCTTTGATTAACATGCCTTGGCGTTGGCATTCGCATTCGCCGCTTGTGGCAGGCCAGCCAACCAGGCAGGCACATGTGTAAAATAATCTATGGCTGCTGCCACCCGGCCTCGGCCATTAATTGCGCCTCTAATCCTGTGTCCTTTGCAATTTGGGTCGCAGGAGGAGGGGCTGAAGCAGCAGCAGCAGCAGGGACGACAAGGTCGCTGGTCCTGATTAAGTGTTACAACGGCACTAATACTATTATTAGAGTCCGTTTACCAACTGTGGCTAAGCAAATGCTGCCCATTAAGCCATCTTCGATTGTGTTCGATTGAGCGCCGAAATTGAGTCACTTCCGCCTTTGTTTATTAATGGCTTTCACTTTAGGACATCTTTTCAATTCACTCTGTTCACTGTTCCTTTTCATTTAGTATCAAAATCAAACCCTCTTCTTGCTTACTTTTTGAGTGCAAACGGCTTTAAAGTCGGAAAGAAACTGAACAACAAAGTGGCTGTGACCCAAGAGATCACTTTTTGCTTAGGTTCCTGCTAATTCCATAAACGAGAGCATGTGAAAATAGGGGGAGTAGGAGGTAGAGGAGGAGCCTCTTGACGTCTTTGGCACCGATGTGTTATGTGGAAAATGGCTGGCAAGCAAGTACACAACTTTGTAGCAGAGCAAACCAATTGACCTCTTAAAGGGGCAATTGGTATTTCTAGCTAATATTAGCTCAACCTTAAGCGCTTGCGTAATCTATATTTGTCTCAGCGCCATCGAGTGGAAGGGCTTGACTGCCTGTCGAAGCAATTTCCCACCCTCCAGCCAACGAAACTGTTGCAGTCGCTTTTGGCCCGGCTCAGAGAATTTGTCAAACTTGCTTAAAAGCCAGGGCAAAAATTCAATTTCAGCAGCATGCAGCCAGCACCAGCAGCAGCGGCAGAAGCAGCAGCAGTCGAGCAGCCAAATTGCCTGACCCCAGCACAAGACATAAGTAAAATATATTTCGTATATATTTTACAAATTGGCTCAGCCCGGGGCAACAGTAATACGGAATAGCAGCAACAAAGAGGCAACAACTGTCTTGACAACGCAACGTTGGCGTTGTCTAGGACAATGCAATGCAGCTCATGCAGCATACACACACACACACACACCCTCTGAGTAAACAGGGTGTCAAAGGATGCAAGACAAGGATGTCCTCCTACTCCTTGATGATTACTCAAGCGATTTGGTCTGAGCAATTTCCTTTTTTTCGCATAATCGAAAGTCGAGATGTTTACACAGCCATATTTTAGGGAAGAAAATGAATGCCCTGTATTCGCTAGATTTTGTGAACATGCACTTACATACAGTGAGGAAAAAAGCTAGCTAAAATCATGAAAGGAACAGTGTAATTATTATTTAATTATTTATGTTTAAAATTATATGTTTAGGAGTGGCTTGTTATAGGCATCAAATTTCTAACCAAGTATTTAGACAGCTTGAAATAAATCCAATATTTATGTAAACATTTAAAATATAAGCCAGGTCTCCAGGAATAAATACCCTGATGAACTGAAAGAACAACTTAAATATTAAACTCTTTTTTCAAACAAGTTTAGGAAGTTTAAATTTTCCTCGTAACAAATAAAAAAAAAACATTTCCAATGCATGTTTTTCCAGTGCCTTCGCATCCAATGTGGATAAGGGTCACGATTTTCATTAGTTTCATTTGCCACAGTTTGCCGTCTGCCAGGCTCCTCCTCGCCTCGTTCCTTTGGTGTGGCTTCGCTTTGCTTGTCCTTCAGTTATGGGGTGACAATGCCACAATTAGTGGCACCATCGCTATCTCAGTCGTGGCCACTCACGCCGCTGTGCTCCGCACTCGGTTCCTTCAAAATTTGGCATTATCTCATAACTGGCTCAGCTCGCAGCAGAGTATGTTTTCCTTGTCTTGTTTCCAATTCCGATTCCTATTCCGGCTGCTCGGCGCCATTTGTGCAATAAAAGCAGGAAACTTCAGCGGCTGATTGGAAGCGCGCTGGCTGGGACTGGGACGGGTATTGATCAAACAGCTGGGCTGTCGGACAAGGCTGAGACCCAGTTTCTGGGCCAAACGCGTGCTCCTCTGCAGGAATGCGGTACAGTGGAGCCTAAGCCTAAGGGAGATTTGAGTTAAATTGAATTATGATTTTAAAGCCACTAAAAAATATAAAAAATTTTATCATAGCATTTCTTAGGTTCCTGTTTAATTGACTTAAAATATTCTAGGACTGCAATGACTTCCCCCGATATTTCCTTAATAGGACACTTATCGAATCAGGACTGTTTTTATTAGCGGCATTAAAGGCATTGAAAAAATAGCTCAGTAGCCGAGGCAGTGGTGCCAGGTACAGTTGTGCCACTCCAAGTTCCGCCGATTTCCATACCATATTTCTGCCTGCACTGCAGTTAGCTAGTAAGACTCAAACCGGGCGGAGAGCAACGGTTTTTTTGGCCATCTAAGCCAAAAATCAACACGCTTGCTCCGTGTCCAACGAACCGGAGACAGGAGGCAGGACACCGGAGACCGGAGACCCGAGACCCGGTGAGCGGAGACGTAGTCATGCCCATCCACTGGGACTGGGACTGGGAGCACGAGCACGAGGGTCATGGGGGCCACTATCACTGGCCGCCGCGTCGCCACTGGTCCACCGGGGAGTCCAAATGCCGGCAGCGTCGCTACTATCTCTCCCACGACCTAGATGTATGTGCCCGTGACTTTCACCTCCGGATGGAGGACAGTGCCTGGTGCCACGGCTCATGCCTGGTGGGACGCGTGGTGATCGAGACGGGCACGGAGCCGGACTCGCTGGGCCGTGGCACCTTCAAAGTGGTCCTCGATGTGCACCACTTCCAGATCTCGGAGCTGACCGTAAAGGCCAAGAACAGCGACACCGTGTGCGTGGAGGGCCAGCAGGCAGATGACCGGGCGGAGAAGGGCCAGCTTTGCATCACCCGGGAGTTCACGCGATCCTACAAGCTGCCACGTCACTACGATGCCACCCAGGCGCGGGCCACCTTCTCCGCGGACGGGATACTCATGATTACGGTTCCAGCACCACCCAAGCTGGACGACGTGGAGCGCGTGATAGAGATCGAGCCGACGGGCAACTACTTTGGCAGCGTGGCGGATCCCAGTGCGGCCAAGGCCATTGAGCAGTCGGTCGACGAAGGCGATGGTGGCGGGGTTAATCCTGCTGGCACGGCGATGGACAAATGAAGCCGGCGACGTCTGGCGGTTGCGCGGGTGTGGGGCCTCCTCTTCCCTTCCTGGAAGCGGTTGCGGAAGCCCAAGCCCAAGGGCGTCTAGGCCGTCAGAGGCAGTCGATCGGCTGGAAGAGAGAAAGCTCATGTAGTATCCCAAAGGAGCAAGGCGGAGGAGGAGGATCAGCACAAATCAGACACTTGCACGTTGGAGTACTTCCCCGAAAATAGTTACTTGGATTGTTCTTATGTTCCCAACCTAGGCAGCACGTAGAAAATCGTTCGAAACGTGAGCAAATATGGCGCGGTCGATATTGTTCTCGGATAAACCTAAGATAGCTTCGGACTAGCCTTACCTAGTTCCCATTCGCTTGTGATTTTGAGTTATGCCAATAAAGGACTTTATCAGAAAAACACCACTGAGGCTATTTACTTTAAGGATATGGAAATCCAATGGTTTATTTATATATTATATATTATATATTATATATATTTATTATAATTAATTTATCTATTGTTCCTTTTGAGAGGTTTAAAAAATCAGACTTAAATTTATTGTATCTTATTTAAAACTGAAAAAGAGATACAGTTTACCCATAATGAAGCTGTATTCCATTGAGTTCCTCGTTCCTCTTTAAAACACAATCTCATAAAATAGTCAGGCTAATCGGCTAAGCAATCCCCAGTCTGGGATAAATCTTGCCTCTGGGGGTAGCCAAGCACGAATGCAAATCCCAAGCGAATTGGATTTCTCGCTGCTTTTAACTTCCCTGTCACGCAGCTTTTGATTAGCGTCAAATTTGAATAAAATTCACTAACACCTTTTGCGTTTTCTTCATCTCTAACTGACGCTCTGGCCTTTCTCCCCATCTCTCCTCCGCTCGGAGGTGCCCATAAAAAGACAAAAAGGCAGCAGCAGCTAGTCAGCAAAAAAAAAAATAAAGGATACAGATAGATACAGACAACGATACAGACATATGTATATAGTTTGTTTATCGACCCCAAAAGGAAAGGCAAACAAAAAATGGTTTGACAGCAATAAGCCGAAGGAAGAAATAATAATACGGGCAACCCCCAACTTTTTCGAGAACAAAAAGGCTGCCGAAAATTCCGGGTACGTTATCTTTACATATGCCATTGGTCAAACTATGTGGAAAACCTTTGTAATTATAATTATTCAGGATTAAATCAGTCAACTAGAGGGCAGAATTCTTTTGATAATACTGATTCACCCCCAAAGAGTGCCACAAGCTGGAAAACTCTGAAGCAATCCAAGCCCAATCAGGCCTACGGCCTTTTCCCGAAATCGTGGGCGCGTCGCTCCGTTTTTGATTTGCTTTTCGTCCCTTGCAATTTAGCTGTTGAGACACGTTTTCTTGTTACGATTGTAATGAAATTTGCTACATCTTGAAGTGAACTGTTGCAGGCCGCAGCCCGGCAGCTTCAGGGAGTCGCTACAAACAAAAAAAAAAAAAAAGAGAAAAAATTGCCAACGGACGATGGGACAACGAGGTCGCGTACTTTGTCATCGTTTTGTTTTTATGCGTAGTTGCGTTTAATAAAGTTTTTATATGGCCTGCCATTCGAGGAGGCCAACCAACGATGGCCGGATGGATGGATGGATGGACGAAAGGACGGCAGACGGACTCTCTTATTTCTAATCAAGTTACGGTTGCCGGAATGCGGCCTGCAGCTTTAAGATATTGGCCGTGGGATATTCATATTTACGAGTATGGCACGAGGACGGCGATAAAATATTCAGCAGAAAAGTAACTTCACAATTTCAATTTCCCCTGCTATATAAGTATTGTGTGGCGGGGGGACAAACCAAAATAATACAACGATAATAAACACCTACACACCAATTTTATGAACTCATAAAACACTCTGATGGAATCGTATTTTATCCAGGCTCCCTCTACCCCCCGTCCACCATATATATACGTATAAAAAGCCCATATATGCAGCTCTTCCGCTGCCGAAAGCCCCAGAAAAACATCAGATCGCATGGCACTGCGGGCCATTTCCATTTCCATTCCATCCCATACCGATTGTTGTTTTATGTCCCACCGGCCACAGAACAGCAGAAATCGTTGGGCGGCCCACAACTAATTTTTTATGGCGTTTGATCCATTGTGGCGGCGATTGAATGCTTTTCTGCAAAACTTTTCAATAGCACAAAATGGCAGAAGCGAAACGTCCCCAGGGTCCCCACCACCATCATCATCGCATAGCCGGCAAAGTGTGCGAAGGCCGCGACACCTAATTACGCAAATTGATGTGACATCAGACGCTTTCGCTGCGGAAAAGTTGGGGGCCTCCAGCGGAGCGTCGCTTTTCCCGCCCAGTCGCACCCATTGATTACACCGACTTTGCCGGCAGAGATGCCAATGACCTGGGCCAAAAAGTGGAATATTAAAAATAAATGGCGGGAAAGTCGCAATAAAATAGGGAAGTTTGGTTAATTGTTCTCTAAATTGATTTTTCAAAGTATTTTAATGTTGGCAATTGCAATAACAATTTCATTTTGTTACCGCTGCACTTCATTATATTTTATTTCCCCTAAATAATTCATTATTTAAGTTAATTAGTTTATACAAAGCGAATTTAGTTAAATTTCTGTAATATTTAATTCATAATTTACAATAATTACGCATACGTAATACGTATACGTAATATTCTTGCTCTCTTCAATGTTAACCTAATAAGGCTTTAGCCACTTTGGTTATTACCCCCTCGAAAAAAAGGCCAAGCAGACATCACTTTTAAGTCGATTTTCAATGTCGAAGCATGTCCAATGGAGCATGCTGACATCTAAAGCCATGGCCACCAGTCCCGACGTAATTGCTCCATTCAACTTTACTGCCAATGAGTTGTTATGAGTTGTTTGACCAGCAACCAAAGCACAGCAGCTCAAATGAATCGCAGACTCTCGCAAAGTCAGCCCGGCCAGAGAGTCGCATCCTGCGAGCTGCTGAGTTGCAGTTGTATTTACAGGACGTGCACGCAGACACGCACGCCTACGCAAAGGCATTTTGCGGGCCATTTGTAGCGCGTGCATTGGCGGCCAAAAGGGATTGGGAGTGGAAGTGGGTAGTGGGAGTGGGAGTGGGCCAGGCCCTGGGCGAGAGACTGGTGGATTGAGGGACTTCAAATGCATTTTGCAACCGCAGCCAGCAATGGAACGGAACGGAAACGGCCCCTAGGAGCAGCAGGAACATGGAGATGGTTACGTGAGGGAAATCGCATTGGGGAAAATGCATCATTAACAAGAAAGGAATGCTGGCCGCGGGGACCGATGCACTGAATACCCTCACTAATGTAATTTTTATATTGAGAGCGAAAAAGGAGTTTTTTAAGGATTTATTTAAGAACCTAATTTAGGATTTTGTTAACATATGGGAAAATTATGCATTTTCTAGCTTTATCTGTACGACTTTTAAAGGTTTCTTAAGATGTTCCAGCTTAGGCTCACATTTGTTATGGTCAAAATAGTCTATTTATGATATAACATAGATCGTTTGTAATTTTTTAAACAAGCTTTCAGGTGGAAAACAAGACAAGACAAACTAAATCAATTTTTTAAGTCTGCATATCTTAGCTTTTAATATTTTCAAGACCATTATTAGACACCAAAATGAGGTTTTATAACAATTGTCCTTAGGTGAATATATCCTTGCTAAGACATAAACCATCTGTTTGTCATAAAAGTAAACCTTGAAGATTATGTGGCTTAGAACAGAATTACCATGGGCTTGACTTACAGGCTGAGAAGCAGAGGACATGTACTCCCCAAAAGGTCAATGGATTGAGCAAACACCATGAAGCGAATCGAATGGGCTGCAGCCGCCAACGATCCAAAACGAATAATGTTCATCTGTTTGGAACTGATATTAGATGCTTACCAATAATGCTGGCCATCACGAACGCATCGCTGAGATGTTGTAATGATGACGATGCTCCTCCACTCCTCCATTCCTCTGCTCCTCTGACAGTATGTGCGGCGCCTAATCTTTGACCGTGTTTGGGTCGTAGTTGCATCTGCACACTTGTGACGCTGCAGTGGCATTAGTGGAGTTGCTGCGGCTTAGTCGGCTTCCTGTGTATCCTGGCCATCCTGCGCATCCTGGCGATTGTGCCATCGACTATGTCAATCCTGCCTCCGCTCATTTACTGTAAACGAGTGCTGCGGACGCTTTGCTGTTTTTGCGGTTCCTGTTTGCCAATCCTGAAACGGCGACGACGTTGTTAGTGGGTCTTCGGTGTTGGTCCTGCTGATGCCGCTGCATTTAAGCGTTACGCACTTCCTGCTGGGAATGTTATTACTTCCGTTGCCATTTAATTGATTTTGAAGGTGCGTATTTGGCGGCAAGAGCGGCCCTCAGGGAGCATGGCTTCCGCCATGGGCCATTAGTAAATTGTGGGTTAAGTGCTCTGCAACCCAAGTCCAAGCCCAAATCCCAACCCAAACCTAAATCCGTTCCTAACGCATTTTTAGACGCTTAGGCTGGGAAATTGGAACTCGAGACTAAAGATTGGAGACTGGAGCCTGAGAGAGCCTGCGGTTGAGGCGCCCCCTACCGCACTTTCACTGTGCGGTGCGGTTTTTGGGCACTTTTTCGAGGCTCTTTTCCTGCCGTGACGTCAGCGTTATCCATGCGTAAAAGTTATTAGTGAAATGCACTCACCCAGGAACAGGATGAGGAGAAGCAGCAGCAACAGCAGCAGGAAACTGCAGATGTTTGTTGGCCACGAAAACCTCAAACAGCACTTAAGTTGTTGCCAGCTGGAAGGTTTTCGGTTTTAGGTTTCAGGTTTTCGGCTTTCCATTTGCTTTGCCTTACTCAGAGCGAGCAGCTTGCAGTAAGTTTCCCAGTGGATTTTCAGGCGCGCCGGGGAAATGGCCTAATAGGCTTACCTTGAGAATGCATTTTAGACAGTCTTCACCACTTTTACCCGGCGGGTAAGCCAGCTGCTGACGAAGGGAATTTATATTCGCCATTATGCAATTCCACACCGTTTACCACCGGCTGCTGAGTAATTGCCAGCGAGTTAATATTTTCAGTCATCAGCAGATTAAGACACATCTCTCCCACACAATGCGATTGATTCCAGACCCGACGACTCATCCCTGGGGTTATCTGTGCATAAATCCCACACAGAAAACCAGACACCGACCCATTTATCCACATAACCAAAAACTATTAACCATTTGAGCAACAATGCGTTGCATTTCGAACAACATTTGAAAATGAAACATGTTCCCGCTAATTGACTTCGAACCGCAGCATCCGCGATTGTTTCCACATTAGCTATGATTTCTTTTGCCCAGAAATTTGCAGGAGTGGTGCGGGAGAGGCTGCCGGATGCGGGTTGCTGGATGATAAGTGAGCTGCTATTAGTGTGTCAATTAGCGGGCTTTTGCTGCATGTGATCCAGTTCACTTGGCCTGGGTTTGGGCTCGGGCATGGGTTCGAGCTGGAGCTGAATGGCATATGGAACATGGCATATGGAACATGGCATGTGGCTGCCCGGGGCGTGAGAATTAATGCATGACTGGCGCTGCGAGAGAATCTGTTTCAAGTACTTGCGGAAACCGAAAGTGGAGTGCTAATTAGCATGACTAACCGAGGCTTTCATTTACGTTTTCCAGGGAAATCTGGACCACAGTCCTACCGCCGGAAACCAAGGATGTCTACACCGCCATACTGGGCGTGACCAAGGCAAGTCGGATCGATGAAGGCGTCTACAGCTGCAAGGTGAGGCTACTTGATAAGATATCTGAGTCCTTATTTTATAAATTTTTTATTTATTTAGCATTAAAATAGCCGCAATTTTGGGTTTTCATGCTAATCGTAGCTGATGATCTGGTAATTCCGCTCGGGCCTTTCCTTTTTCTAATGATTCTCCAGTTCCCTAGGCACTCTCCGAGGCCTGCCCAGACGCCCGTAATATTTTCAGCTGACAGTCTAATTGCCATATCATAGCAGGGCATAGCAGAGAAATCCGGGTGATTTGGACTTGGATACTGGTGGATCTGTCTGGACGAAAAGCCTCTCTCCCCCCGCAGGCCACATAATTACATTTGGCTTTACTGCGTTCTGTTCTCAGCTCTGTTCTTCATTTTCGCTATAACGTTGCTTTTAATTAGACTAATTAAAATATGGTAGACCGGCCAGATAGAAAGGAGTGATGGAGCAGCAGGCAGTGTGGAATGTGGGCTTCCATCGCACTTGAATGGTCTTTCTCAGGGGCCAATTAAATTTTAATCTATGGTATTAAACATTCTTTTGACTGCGGCTTCCGGGGATGAATTTACGGATGCCCAAAGATGATGCTAAGCCCGGCCAAGTCCTCGCCGATTTAGAGGCCCGCACTAAATAAGAGTTTTAAATTGTTCCAGACCATTAGGCCCCAAACTGGCCACATTCCCATCCCCGCTGTACCGGCCATCCCAGTGGGCCCCTTCTTTATGGCTTAGGTAATAACATATTACGCAAATGGCTTGTAAAAAATATTGGCCAACATAAAGGAGACCCGGCCAATCCGTGCACGTGAAAAGGAAAAGTTTTCCGGCAAAAGGAAAAGTTGCCTCTGCCAAGCACGTGGACACATGACCAAGGTACTTGGCGCTGTCCGGGGATGGGATGTTAGTTGTAAATCAAAAGGTAATTCGATTGCCCCAGCACGGTAGGGGATCGTAATAAAATGTTTACGTTTGCGTTGCGTATAAATCAAATCAGGAATTGTTGCAAACTCAATTGAACTTTGGCATTAGCATAATGGTTCTCTGGGAGTTGCTACCTAGATTAAAGCCAGCCACAAATCCGGCTTTAATCCGACTGCGTTCGCATCTGTTGCACCAACCAAGGACGATGGTGTGGTGGCCCATTGTATTTAGAGCATGGTCCACGGCTCTCCGAGGGGATTTTGTTAAGTTTTTTATGTCGGCACGCTGGGCCTTCAGTTCAGTTTTTTCAGCTGCTTTTGCCGCCTTTGTGCCTTTGGAGCGCCGCGTGCCGGCAGCTCACTTATTATTGTCGCTGTTCCTGCTCCCCCGTAATGACGCTCGACCAGATCAAAGGCAGGAAGCCCGGAAGGAGGAGCAGCCACTGGCAGCCGGAGGAGGGTCCGCAAACGCTTAGCAGCTGCAACAACCGAACAAGGATAATCGGGAAGGCAAAGCTCTCAGCTTCCAGCGCCCAGCTCTCGACTCCTTTTGGTCCCCGAAGGTCGATTGTGCCCACGTCTCGCAGCTGTTTGCTGAAAACTGGGCAGCGGGTTCCCTCGAATCCTTTTCAATAACACTGCCTCAAGGTCCACGTCAATAAAGCGCCTGCCAATGCCTCCACGGCCCATTATGCGTTGGGGACTGCATGTCCACGTCCATAAGTTGAATAAACTCGAACAATGCCCGTACATTTCTAATGGGGGCGTGTGCCTTGCGCATTTATTATTTATGTATTGATATTAAGTATACGCCCCGTTGCAATTAATTCATTTGCCTCGGGGAACGGAGGCGTCTTGGGTCCATTACGTGCACAATGGCTCTGAGCGTTGGCTGTCTTTAAGCCGCCTGCATTAGCCCCACTTCTTAAGCCATTCCACTTTCTGTCGGGCACGGGCGGAGCTTAAGTGTTCTCTCGATTAAAACACAGCCGGATGAAGGCCACCGACCAACTGATTAAAAGACGGCAGATGAGAGTGTGGCCTCCAGGAGAGTCTTAGCATCAGCGGTGATTCTTAGAGGTTCAAACAGGAATTAGAGGTTTAAAAGCGAATCTTAATGTGGCCATAAATATGCAAATATATATAAAATATTAAAATAATTTCAAAAGAAATAATGTAAAAATGTTAATTTACTCTGTGAATATGAAAGCATAAGAAAGAGCTTAATCTGAGAATGCAATTCTTAAAAATAACATCAACTCACCAAGCAAACAAATTTGTGGTATTCCCGTTTTAATTTCCCAACCTCAATACTGTCAATATCCATTAGCTTACTTAATGCTGGTGGTTGCCCAAAAAATAACAATTTTTATGAACTATTAATTCCATTGGAGTGGTGTCCATTGATCGAGAAGAGGGACAACTCAGCACAGCACAACATCCTGGCCAAATGCTTAGCAATTTCAAGACACAACGTCCTGTTTAACGACTTGGCCTGTTAATGAGACGCGACTTATCCGAGCGTCCAATAAAATGCCATTTGGCCATAAAAATTCTACTCTCGGTAGGAAAGTTTTGCAGTCCGACAACGTCGCAGCTTAATGAGTTAATTGGCATTTGGATTTTGTGGCCGGCAAAGATTTGTTGACGATGCACAGTCGTAAATGACTTTGAAAGCTTACCGACATTTCCCGTAAGAAATTTAAAGCCGCCAATGTCATAAAAAAGAGCGGCTAACCTCCGGCTTACATTGCGAGTGTTTCGCTGTCTATTAAATATTTCCGGATCGACTGAGCCAAGTGCCAAGTGCCGGAGGGCCCAGATATCAGACACGGATGCAGACGGACCCGGGCGGGCACAAGGCAAGCGGTGGGATGATACCTTCAAGCCGGCGACAATGACGTCGCCGAGTTGGGATATCTCTTTAGAAACCAACGCCCTTCTCGTTAGTTGTATCATTTGTACGTTTTTTTTTTCAAATTTGAAACGGAAGTATGCCGAGCATCTGTGTGGAATGTAGAAGGAGCCGTCGTCGCATTGTGTCCTCCTGCCCATCATCATCATCGTCGTCGTCATTGCTGACGGCGTAGCAACGTCTATGGTTTTCGCTGTGACCCGGCAGCCACTGCACTTGAAAACCAGGATATGCCAAAGAAGATTTAAAAATATATTAGCAAAGTAATCATAATAATGACAGCTTAAATATTAAAAGGAAATTCACAGGAATTATATGATAAAAGCTTAACCACACTTTTCTCCATCGAGTTTCCTCTATCTTTTCTCGAATGATAAATTATTTGCTCTGTAGAAATGTTTCACGTGCACTTGGTAACTCTCCGATTTCCCTCCGGAGAAATGTGCAACAACGACATCGTTGGGACGAGAAGTTTACAATTCGTTTGCTTGCAAGCCGCGTGGAAATAAATAAATGCGAAAGGTTGGCTCGAACCCACACGGCTCGGCCCAGACTTTAAGTAGCTGCCATCCATCCAGCCATCCTTCCCTTTTGGCCAAGAGCAGGGACTCGGAAGCACTTGTGGTCGTGTGCGACTTAAAGGGTCCTTCGAAGCCAGCACAGGCTTGACCGGACATCGTATGACTTACAAATCGAGTGACTAGGCAAATACTAATCCCAACCGAAGCCCTTATTTCGTTACGGCAAATACATTTTGAAATGCCGCTAGTCCCGGGCAGTTAAGCCTTTAAATTACATTTCATAAACTAATATGAGACAAGCCCAAATGAGATTTGCATTTGATGTATGACTATAATGTAATATTCGCTTTAAGGCAAACAGCAAGCACATGCAAATCAGGACTTGTCATAGTCAATCAGCCCACAATGACGTCTGGCTGACTAGTAAATAAGTCTATTAAACAAATCCTCGGGCGACGGCTGACTGACAGGAAGCCTTCGAGTTCGAACTGGGATGTGGCAACTACTGTTGCTCTTCCTCTGCCGGGCATGAAAAGGACAATGCCAGTGTCCGACCACCAGGCTGTGTGCTCTGCTCTCAGACAAGGCTGTTGATGTTTGGGTGGTCAGCCCCTGGCCATCAAACATATCATGAAATCAGTTGAAGAACAGCAGGGGCCGAGATAATAGAATTACACTAATTGTTTTATAATGCAGAGTTTCCTTAAAATGTCCTTAGCTTATAATTAGGCAGAATAAATTATATTTGGTTACAATTTGTATTTTTTATTTAAAATGAATACTTTAAAATATCTCCTCTGTTAGTTATTCATACTATATAAGTTCCTATTTTAATTTCCGCCACGGTCTCACTAGAGAGTCCTGGCCTTTGCTCTCACCGCAACTGTCCTGGGCGTTGGACGCTGTGGATATGAGTAATCAAACCCAAGCCACTGTGGTCAGCCTCTGACGGACGTTTCCAGTCTCTGTTCCCGTCACTGTTACCCGACTTTGTTTAATGGGTCTCTGTTTCCGCTTTTTTCTCTCCTATCCTTCGACCAGGTCACCGATTGGGGCGTAGAGCAATGCCGCTCCCTGCACATCCACATCAAGTCACCGCCCCGTCTGCGCGTGGATCCGGCAAGCGTGACCCTCCAGCGCGGAGACTCCCTGCGGGTACGGTGTCTCTCCCCAGGAAACGACGACATCAAGCGGTACGCCCAGTTGGGCTATAGTTGGACCCGCAACGGGGTACTCTTCCAGTCGGACGCAGCAACTGCCATGTGGGAGGACCTGTATCCCGATGGCAGCATCCTTAAGATCAACAACATCCAGAAGTCGGCGGAGTACGCCTGTCTGGTCTCCAATAGCGTTCGTCCCGTGTCCCGGAGCGTCTATATCAATGTCATCGAACGCAATGCGGTCCACGTGTGTCCGGCAGAGTCAACGTACGGCGTCCACTGGCCCACCAGTGCTCCTGGAGCACCCATCATCACCGACTGCCCGCGCGGCTTCGAGGGTCACTTGCGCCGCATCTGCGAACAGCGAGACACGGGCAACTCCAGCTGGCTGCTGCCCGACTTCTCCGGCTGCGTCCGCGACGAGCTGCTGCTCATCTACAATCGCTTCCTGGCCCTCAGTGCCGGCTTCCAGCAGACGAACTCCTCGAATATTCTGAAGGCCTGCTTTGACTTTACCCTGCAGAGGCGGCACAGTTTCCTGCCCGGCGAGGCCAGCTTCCTCATCGATATGCTGCATGAGGTGAGTTGTAGTAAAGAATAGGAATGACTTCGGAAACCGAAGGTTGATGAGGGTATTCAAGGGAAGTAAAGTTCAGTTTACAGAATTTCAATCAATGAAATTAAATCCTATTTCCCTAATCATATTGACCATGTAATCGTCCTTGAATAATACGCTCAACTCTCCTCCCAGAAACAGAAATTTCTGAAGGGAATTTGGAACCAGAGAAAGGTTACGGGTATTTTCCACATTCCAATATCCCGTAACTTAAAGATTATACCTGAGGGCCAAGACCAAACCGACTTGGCTTGCCATACATTTCCCACAAATATATTTATCGCTTTGGCTCCTTAATGCCGCCTGCTGCCTCTGGGCCGGGCAGAGGCATAAATGTAAAAGCCACCAGGGGGATGGCCATACCATTCCTGTAATGTGACAGATTTGGTTAAATTGGCCTAATCAAAATCGGAATTGCGATTCCCTTTGCGGCATAATATTTCGGTACCACTACGGCGGAGCTGTCAGACAGATTTCCAGGTCCGTTTTTGTCCCGGCGTCCTTCCGTTTTCCGCAAAACCCTTAACACACTTAAGCCTAACCTGCTTGAACCCGGGGCACTTGAGGGGAAGGAACAAGTGTCTTGTGGCCCCGGCAAACTATTTTTACACGCAAATGAATGCAAAAGCTGGCGGGCCGGGCGGCTTGCCATTTTTCACACAATTTTCGGTTTCCCAACTGCAGTCAAAGAGGAGATTCGAGATCCGTGTTCCGAGTTCCGAGTTCCTTCGCCTTTGGGGTCGTCGCCTAGCAACAATTTTTCATTTTAATGCGCACACAAATTTTCCGGCTAACGAATTGCCGTGCGAAGTCGAGAGGAGCTAAGGAGCAGCCCTGGGTCCTTTAGGTTTCTTTAACAGGAGGCAGGGTACAACCTGTATTATGTTGTCTCAACTCTGTTTCCTTGGCCACTTCACAGCTCGACACCTACCTGCAATTGAAAGGCACACAACTGGAGCGTGAGATGGCCGCGGAGATTATACTGCGCATCCTGGATAAAGTCATGCAGAATGCCCAATCCTTGAACAGTCAACAGGTAAGTGCCAGGACTTCGGTTTCGGCTGCAATTGCGCATAAATTACGGCAAGTGTACTGCTCGCATACATACATACATACATACAGCCGGGAGGCAGTCAGTGGAGCGTTCGGGCGCCATAATTTATATCCTGCAGCCATATTCAATATTTGCCAGGGTTTCCGCCCAGGTCCTGGATTTATTACACCCGAACGAGCACACACACTCACTATTTATCCCATCGAACTAGGGCAAAGGTGTTCATTTTCCAGTTACTGCCAGTTTGCCGTAGTGAGGCCTGCCTGCTTTTATTTAGCCCCGGCAATTTACATACGTGCATTTGTCTCCATGTCCCTGTCCGTGCTCGGTTTTCCAAAACAGCCGGAGAATTGATGTGCCTGCCGGCTGGTAATGAATACCTCCTTCAATATGAGCGTTTTTCGGGTTTGTCTGTGGTTTCTGTCAGCCAGCTAGCTGATTGTGCCGGCCGGGTTCCGGGTGAGTTATGTGATTATCCCACAGTACCATGCCGGTTCGAGTTCGTTCGTGCTCCACGTGCTGATTTTACAGCTGCGATAATTGGTTAAGCCTCTTGGAGAATCAAACGTCGTGTCCAAATTCACCTTCTTTTTGTAGTTTTCCTTTCCCAGGAGCCTATTTACGCTCCATTTAACAGAGCGGCTAATAGAGAAGGACCTCCCCGTCAGTGAAAAGATGCCGCTAATGAGGGGCAATCAAACAATTTACCCTCGCAACGCCGTCCCGCCACTTGTCGCAGGACAATAAGGATAACCACTTCCTTATCACCTGGCAACCGTTTTTGGGCAAGCTCGAGTCTCGAAACGGCGGTGAAAAGTGCGTTGTCTTATGTTTGTTTTTTTTTTTTTAACACGAAGGTGTATAAAGCCCTCCGCGTTCCGAGATTGCGGTTTCTGGCGCGGATGCCATTGTTTCCGGCTCAACCGAGGATTTCAAGAGGCGTAGGCAGAGGAAGGAGACGAAGGCGGAGACACTCCGCGTCTCATGTATTATTCTGTGGGCAAATTTCGTGTACGGCAAGTGCGACGTTAAAGTAAGACAGAAAGGACTCCCGCCAGGATAAGGCTGAATTTCGGTATGCAAATTTATGAGAGTGTTGATTGCAACTGTTTGAATATGGCCTGCCCTTCTCCGAGGACCTGTCAAGAAGTGAGGATAATTGGACCCTCTCAGGGTCCTGGGCCCGTCGTTGGCTTACTGACACCTCCGGCATAATCTATTAGCCCGCCCGCCGTCCGGGCCTTAAGTTAATATTCATCTTTTACGATCTGGACGCGTGTGCCCGAACTATAAAGGAGATCTGTCTGTCTGCCCGCTCACGGGGGAGAATGCCAAGTTTTTAATGCTGTGCAAATTAATTTAGTTTGGCGAGAGTTCGGCTGAGTTATGGCATTCCAATATAATGCGCCGTGTGAGCACCAAAAAGTCGAACGAAGGAACAATTTATGTTAAATTTTTATTAGCTGACGCAGTCGGAAAAACTTGCCAGCATAATTGGGTCGATTAAAAAGCGTCGGCATTCGGCGAACTTTCCTGAAGTTGTGCAAATAGTTTGCCTCGTTTTTATTGACTGAGTGAGGAAAGTTTAATGGAGTGAGCCGAGGAAAACCCCTGCAAGTTTATCGCGAATCGAAACGAATTTTTCGCGCGCAATCAAGTTTAATTAGTGCCTCGCGGAGGTCCGAGAAAATCGGCGAAAACCGTGAAAGTAATCACGCGTGCCCGTAACCGTTTACGCTCGCCCCGGGGCCAGTTGAAAAGTTCGTAGGCTTTAAAGCCACTTAATTTCAGGACGAACCAAATAATTTTCATATGCAAAAAAGGATTTTATTTTTGTTTTATTTTTCTGTGTAAATCGGCTAAGCCTCGTCAATATGCCGCTAGAGATAATAATAATCCCGAATGGATATTTTTATGATGGCATTTCATTTGCTTAAAACCCATTTTCATTCGCGCTCAGTTGCAGTCACTGTGATCTGCTTTCATTTTGCGGTTTTTGTGCAAGACCCGAACTGTGGAACTCTGTGGAAATGGCAATTGAAAAAGTTTTTGCGGACTGAAAGCTGCTCATTTTTGAGTGTTCGAAAAAGTTGATTAAAACACTGCCGCGCACGAGTGTGAGCTTAGATTTGCATAAGTTCCCATGTACAGTATGTATATATTATATATTTGGTATTGCCAATGGCCGAATCGAATGTCCAACAAAGTTAGTTGACCCACTTTCTGGAACTTGGTCAGTTTGCGATGGAGAATAGGACAGAAGAGGCTTCTCTCCTTGAAAGGGCTCAAATCAAATCACGACGAATCACTTAGCCGAAGAGTATGCCCCGGAAACGTGACCCTAAGTCACGGCCCAACTTTGCATCCCGGATTTTGGGAAGAACTTTCGCACTGCGCGCACACACATGGCCAAGTGATTTGCCGGTAAACTGCTAAACGTGGCTAGGTCGAAAGTCAAGTGAAATTTGCACATGGAAAACTTTTTCCAGGCCTTTCTCCTGCCCTGCTTACCTTCTCCCGAAAGCCAGGACTTTCTTTTCAGCGCCTTTTAAAGAAATCAAGCGAATGCCACACATTTGAATAGGCAGCCCTGGCCCTGTCCCTGGTAACGTGGGGGCGTGGGGGCGTGGGGGCGTGGGGGCGTGGGGGCGTGGCCGTCGTTAATGCCGCTCTGATGATGCCGAAGTTTCGGATTTTCGTTGCCAAAAAGTTCCATTACACAAAACTTTTCCAATTGGAATTGTTTTCGTTTTCGATTAGTTGGCCCGACCATTTATGCAAGAGTACGCCGTATGCTTGTATCTTATGTAAAAATCCTATGTTATTTTTGATTTGTGCAGAAAACATACTGCCCTGGCCGGGCACTCGAACACTCGAAAGCTGGAATAGTCGAATACTTGAGTGCTGAAATGCTAGCTCTACACTGCAGCAGTGGACTCCTTCTTGCCTTTTATGTTTACCAAAAAATCCATACTGCCATAGTCGGCTTTGCATTATAAATTGCGAAATTCGAAATCTCTATACACAAACAAAAGGAGCAAGAAAAGCCGCTGTAATGGTTTTCGCATTACAAATTGCAAAAATCGAACGTCCAATGGCCCGTGCACTCGAAATAACATTTACTCGAAAGCTATACTGAGAAAAAATGATAAAGTTTTGTATTTCAAGACACATTCTTAAAATATTAATATTATTTTAAATTCTTAAGGTTTTTCAAAGATATACAAAACACTTTATTAAACCATTTTCTGAATTTTTAAATAAATTGTTAACAAATGTACAAATTAAGAATGTATTTACTAAGTTCTTACTTCCTTTAATAATTTCAAAATTACGTGTTTAAATAATTTTACAAAATATTGCCTTCCTTCAAAACTAATTTTCCAAAATATCTTACAACTTACCACATAAAAAAACTTCAAAACCCCTAGACTTTTTCTCTCAGTGCTTGGTGCGTTGCCTGCCAACTCTGATGTACTGTAGTTGGGTCCTGCTTATTGGCCTCGGTTTATGGCTTTGTAACTGCACTCGAGAACGTAACAATTTATGATTTTTATGGCCGGGTTCATTGACTGCGCTTTCTGTTGCTTTCCTGGCAGCCTGAAAATATGCCACATCGCCAGCGGCAGCGGCGGCGGCTGTGGGCAACCGAGTTGGCCATCCCAGCTCTCACATCCAGCCCCCTTGTGGCATTGATTTCGGCCAAAGTTCGTCTATGAACTCGATCCGATTGTGTTGACAAGGGGTTCTGTGGTGCTTGGGGTCCCAGGGTAAATATAAACATGGTTGGCATATGCTGGTTGCCTCATCGGAACTACCTATCCTCCTGACTGCAGCCGCATTGACAAGGGCTCAAATATCGTCCAGCTTGTGGCTTGTTAAAATATGAACAAATAAGTTATTTGGCCAAGCAAAGCAAATAAGCAGGAAGAAATTGTTGTATTACCAATATCTTGAGCTTGACTAAGGCAAAAGTTATTAAATTCAGAGCTTGAGAACAACTACAATCTGAAAATTGATATTCAAAGTATTCAATATAATGATAAAATGGCACTTAAATATAATTGTTCAAAAAAAAAAATTGGTTTTAATTATTTAAAAAATATTTAAACATTTAAATTTTCCCCAAAAGATTCCTTTTAACCCTCTCGATAATTTATTGTTAAAAAAAACAACCGGAAACCATTATTCACCGTCCATTTTTCTCCCCTTTATTTCCCTTTCAGCAAATTAAAAAGCTGCAGCTGCTCACGCAATCGGCGGCGCTGAATCGCGAGACCATCGCGGCCTCCCAATTGGCCACATCGACCAGCGGCAGCAGCAGCAGCAGCATTCAGCCTTCGGCAGGTGACAGCTCCACTGACCAGCTGACCGCACAGGGCACAGGCAGCTCCGGGCCAGGCTCCGACAGCGGGTCAGGTGCCGTGACGGGCAATGAGATTTCCGCGGGAGCTCCTGGAAGCCTGCAGGCCAACCGAGCCGGGGGCAGCGGCGGTGGGCCAGATTCCAGGGGAGCAGGAGCAGGAGGAGCCGCCACAAGCATCCTGACAGTCGATGAGGACACGCTGTCACTGGACCGGCTGAACTCGCTGCGCATTTACATGACGTCGGTGAAAACGCTGCCGTTCAATTTACGCATCTATGGGTGAGTTCTTGTGGTTGCAACTGGAAAAGTCACCAACCGCCTGAAATCAGAAAAAAGGGCACGACTGATTCGCCGGCTATAATTTCTAATTACGAATGGAGCAAAATGCAAATTTCCAGCGCTGAGGCGTAAACAGTAAACTTCATTTTACGGCCCCTTGATTAATATATGCGACGAAGGGAAACGATTTACCCATGCCGGCGGCCCTCTTAATGGAAAATTTATTTTATGAGCAAACATAAATAAAAAATGCATAAAACAGGCGAGGTCGGAGCATGAAGAATGGCTCATAAAAGTTGAACGCTGGGAATGCTCCTTTCGCCCTTCTTTTTCCGCAAAAAAAGCACAGCAAACTTGCAGCTAAGGCAGAGAAGACCTTGTCCTTTTCCGGACAGGTATTTCCATTTTGCTGGCTTCCAGCTCTGAGCTGCTGGCTTCCAAGTGTCTAATTTAGCTAATTAAGTGCCTTAAGTGCAGGCGGCCACCATTTTGTTTGATTTACGGCAATGGCAGCTCATGCGTTTCTCTTTTTTTCCCTTTCTTTCCAGCGAGGATTTGTTCTCGGATCAGCTGTATATGGACATCGGACTCTCTGCTCGCCTGCTGCACATCATGGCCAACTCAACGATCTTCGCCTCGGTCATCTCGTACAAGAATCTAAAGAGTTTCCTGCCCAAGACCTACTACACGCGTGGCAGGTGAGTTCCTCTCTCAAGTTCAATAGCTAATTAGTTTGTGATGGCAAAAGTTTTGGAAGAAACTTTCGAAATTTAAACGAGCTCGTTGCCAAGTAGTGATCAGTCCTTAAGGAAAACTTGGAATTTAACGCCACTACACTTGAGTAGCGCCCATGTTTAATTCTGCGATTTAATGCCGGGAAAGTTGTTGTCTTCTGTTCTCCTAAATCCTCCCCGGTCTTGTGGGCACCGATGTATAATTCGTAAGCCATGTTTGCCGAGAGCCTCAAATATGTGTAATGCCAACTGCTGTCAGTCTCCAAGACGGCTTCCTTGGCTTAAGCGTATTACAGCCAGCCGGTTGCCTAGCAGCGGGGGAAGGACAACAGAAGCAACAATACCACAGCAACGAGTGTAATTCCCCGACAGTAAACAAAATGCAAATATGCAGCTGCATTGCACAAAAGGGAAAAATCAAGGACGATGATGGAGGAGGGGATGACAGTGGGTTTTCCGGGGGACAAGAACAGCCAACAGGACGTTATCAAATCTTGATTAAGGCAGCTAAATAAAAGATGAGCCTGAGAGTGGCTGCATCAGATTAGCAGGAGCTGTATAATTTCCACTACTTTACTACTGGCTTAAGCAAACGTTTGGCAACTATCAAGATTAAAAGTACATTTTTCGGGAATTGAGTTTATTTTGCGTTATTTTTTAGTCAAAAAACGAACAAGAAATCTATATTTTTACTCCTCTTTTTTAGCGACCCTCGAGACTCCGACTATGTGCTGGCCTCACGCATCATCCAAACCTGGCTGTTCCAGTCGAATCGATCCAACGACAACTTTCGCGAGCCATTGGACCTGCCCTTCGAGGCTGGTCACGTGGAGATCATCTTTCAGCACGAGAGTGTGCCCAGAACGGGCGATTGGGTGGCTGTATGCGGGTAAGTGTTTAGGTGGAGCAAGTCTGTCACTTAACGCGCCATTACATCTCCGATTGCTCCGATTGCAGGCACGACTACAAGGCCTCCTTCGACTCCACGTGGCGCTCGGACCTGTGCATCACCAAGCATCTGATGGCCAACATAACGCGCTGCATCTGCCCGCTGTCCGGAACCTACGTGGTCATGCTCACCAAGCGCCAGCAGAATGTAAGCCAGGGTCCCCAAGGTCGCCAAGGCCATTGCCTGCCTACATTTTTTTTTATTCCGGCTTTAGCTGCCCAATTCATGCTATTCACGTGTACTAAAGTGGAAAGCTCCCTTCTATGATTTATGGCACTTTTAGGACCTGCCATTTAGTGGCCTCCACCTGGGGAGTCCAAGCCCCGCTCTTTGTTGCAAAGCTTACCAGTTCCCAGTCCGCATTTCCGCTTGCCTTGGTCGCCATGAACTTGCTCCAAATGCAGCCCAGCTGGGCACGGATTCTCCATTGTGCGGCGGATATGCATTGGGTCAGGGATGCACAGCGATTAAAATACCTGCAGGAGCCTTATTCAAGGACTCCCTGGGCTTTTAATCGTTCGTCTTCTTAGGTCACAACTTCATTTGAGAAGTATTTTCTATGACGTATCAGCTCAGTGAACCCAGTAAAGCAATTTGTTCTGTTTGTAAATTCTTAAATTTTGTAACTTTCACTCGCGATTTCTGTTGGATGGGGAGAGAGTTTTTCCGCTTTTTTAGAGGCTCGGTCCGATTTTGCTTGCCTTCCTGCCCAAACTTGAATACGCCTCCGCGGCAGCCTAACAGGACTTTGGCCGGCTGTAGCTGGCCTTCGGTTTGCTATTTGAATTGCTAATTGTTCCGCTTGTTTTTTTTTTTTTTTATTCCATTTACAGGCCACTCCATCTCATGTCCCCCAGCGGCCCATCTTCGTGATCGCCAGCTGTGCCTGCTGCTTGCTCCAGTGCGGCTCGGCGCTCCTCATCCTAGTGCCCATCTGGTGCAATCGCAAGTGCGCGGTCACATTCCTCAAGATGCAGTTCTGCATCTCCACGTCGAGTGTGATGCTCATCTACTTGCTGGGCTTTATGAAAATGCTGCCAGTGGTGAGTAGGCCGCAGAGTTGATAACATTTTATAGAGGGAACAAATTACAAATTATTAATTATTACTATTTAAGCAAGGGATAAAGAATTACATTATGTTATATACCATATTCATTTTGGGTCCTGGTAACCAGTTTCTTTTCTGAGAGTGCACATTTTAAATGCAGTTCTCTGTGTGGCTCTTTAAAACAAAGCCTTTGAGAGCCTGCAATGGGAACGCGGTGGAATAAGGAGCAAGAACCAAAAAAAGGAACCAAAGCGTGAAATTTAATTACGCCAAAATAAATAAACAAGGAAAACGAAGTGCGGGAAAGCCAAGCTGAAAGCAAAGCAACCCGAAAACCAAAACCAAACATACTCTTGAACGGAGCGCGAGAAAGGCTCCGAAAGGAGCCGGCGGAAAAGTAATAACAAAAAGTGTTGCAAGGGGAACAAAGGCAGTATCTGGACCAGGACGCGAGGCGGCAATCCAGACCCAGATGAGATGGGCGGACCAACTCCCGGGGGCTTAAACTAGCCGGCCAAACCCTTAAGTTGTAATTATTTGCGGTGCCCGCTCCACCGCCAATGGCAATCACCAAGTAAGGAATTTACCGGCGGCCAAAGACTTTTCAAATAATAATCACGGCCAGGGAAAAATCTGTAATCATCATCAAAACAAATTAGCGTGTCGTCTGCAGGTCGTTACCAGGACACAGGAATGCGAAGAAGGAGCCGGAGCCGAAGCCGGGGCCTGGGAGTTCGAGTTTGGTGGACAACAAAGCAAATAATTTACATTTAGTTTTCATTCTCGTGGCAGCCAAACGGAAAATTCATGGAAAACAATTCCCTAACCTGTTGGCGTCGAGCTCCTTGGAAGGAAATTAAAAGTCAACAATGCACGACGCGGGTCGGCAGGAGGCTCCAAGGAGCGCAGGATCGAAATTAATATTTATAAACGCACATTCTCATTCTCAGACGTTTGAAGTGGGAAAATGTTAATGGGAAGACGCTATAACCCGAGCCCGTTGAAGGGGCATATGCAGCTCCCGCCGTGGTCCAAGGTTCCGGGGGAAGTCCCCGGAGCAACCAGGCAGCCAGCCAGCCGCCTAAATTATAAAACGTAAAACGGATGAAGGCATAAGCGAATAAACTTGCGCGCTGCCTAATCCCCGGGGATCGGGCGGGGCGAAAAAAAAAGAAGCAACTGCAAAGCTCTAACAAGAAATAACATTTTTGAATTAGTAATAAACTGGTCCGCAGTGGAAACAACGACTCAATAAACGAATGAAAAACAAATAAAACATTGTATACGACACAGCGGAAAGGACGACAAAGGCCCAGGCATTCGCAGATAAGGATACGGCGCAGTAGGAGAGGAAGCAATATGGAAAGGTTTAAGCGCTATCAAATGAAAAAGGGAGACAACACACTCGGAAAAATATAAGATTTTAGACTTTGCAGAATATGGGGATATCCTTTTCCATGGATGATCCTGTATACTTCTTTTTTTGTTTATTTACAACTTTCCTGGCATTTTCTCCCTGTGCATCAGCAGGGGGAATTCACAACGCCGAGCAATTCTCGAAAAGCTGACAAAGGCAAACGACACCGCTGCCTCCTCCATCTAGCACAAAGATGCCTGTGAATCCGAGCGTGGACACCACACACGGCACAGGAGGAACAGAATGGGGTAGCAGCTTCGCTATCTGCATCGACGTTTTGGCCGCACGCAATAGGGGATGTGGCAATACGGTGAAATATTCGGTCTCAAAGGATTGCAACGACGGAATTCTTGAATAATGAACGTTTGTGCTAGGAGGACGCTCCGGCGTGTTGTCCTGACAATAAAATAAACGTGGTCTAGGCCCCCGCCTCAGGACAATGGCAGCAGTGCCTCTGTGTTGGCCGAGTTAATGAGCAACTTACGTCAGCAGGATCTGGAGCCTGTGGGTTGGTTGCACAATGCGCATTTCACAGGACTTTCGGGCCGCAGAAAAGCTTCAAAGGGACATTTTTTCTTAACACAACGCTCGCACACGCACTTATTATTATTATTGTTGTTATTATTATTATTTTTATTATTGCACATTAATTGCGCGCACACGCGGCCAGGGTAACTTTATTAAAAAGTACACACATGCAAATTTAATGACTTGGAACACGTGTCGCGGCATCAGGAGCCTGCTCCTGGAACTGGAGGTGAAGCTGAGGCTGGGAAGATTTCGTCGCCATCGGCGACGGACGTCAGCCGCAGCCACCAACCAACGACCACGACCACGGCCACGCCCACGCAATGCCACAATAAATACAATTAAAATATTCATTTTACTTATTGCATATATTTGCGAGCATAAATAAAATACAATTTCAGAGCAGCAGCAGTTAAACGAAACGAAAAAAACAATAAATAAATAAGAAAACATAAATTACGCATACGACCCGTGCGCCCACCCGCAAGCCCCACAGTGGCCGGGGGCGTGACACTGCAGCTGAACATGTGAAAGGCGAAAGCTTTTAAGCGCACTTAACTCATAATTTTTTCGCGGCGAAGCGACAGGGTGGAAGCATTCCCATCATCATTCGTATTCGGATGGTAAATTGAAAATTAAAAAGTTGACATAATGTTTGTCTCACATTTGGCCCGAAGGCTCGAAAAAGATGATTCGGAAGACAACTGTGGTTCAATGTCAGCTGCTTGTAATGTCTCTTAACTTTAAGATCCTTAGCGCTTTAAGATTGCTTAAGTTTAGCAGGATCTGGGATACCTAATTGAATACCTTATATGATAAAAAATTCCACAAGAAATCCAGAAGGTCCCTAAATACATATATAATTTCAAAAGTTAAATTTTAGATCTCAGGTATTATCACAAATAATAAGATTTATATTTGTATTGATTTCCCAATCTTAAATACAAATTCTTCTTATATAATATTTATCAATTTAATTTACTCAAAAGAAAAAAAAACAATAGTAAAATAATGCTCAGGGAGACAGGAATAAAATTACGTATATTAAATTTGTTTAGCTTCTTATAATATTATTAATTCCACCCGCGAAAAGCCCTAAGATTTCAGTTAATGCAATTTAAGAACCATGTTTATGTTCAAGTATTTTCTGGACATTGCTATCTAATTTGTCATGAAAATGTGTTCCCAAAAAAAAATATACTATGCTTGGCAAATTGTTTACAACTTTTTAATAACCAATGTCCGGTCACCGAGGCATGGGATACGAGGTGATGGTTGTGGGGTTTTTTAGAAGAAGTGTAATAAAAATTTTACGCGAAAATGTCACCATTAGAGTGTGCAGGGAAAATCCTACCAAATGGCTTCTTTGGCTTTTCATGCTGCTGCTGCCACTGCCACAGCCACTGCTGATGCTGATGCGGCACCATGACAACTTTTTATATTTAATTAAAAATAACGATGTTGCAGCCGAGCCGTCAAAGCACTCCATTTCCTTATTAACGGCCGTTCATAATTTCCTGTTGCAGAACTGGCACGCCATCATTAGCAGCTCGCTGGCATCGCTGTTGTTGCTGGGCATCTCGACGCTGATTGCGATTGCCTTGGCCATCCACACGGAGCTGATGCCGAAGAAGTATCTGCAGATTGGCAGCAAGCCGGCGACGCCCACCAAGAGGCAGCGGGTGCAGGAGCGCGAGAAGGACCGCGAGCGGGAACTGGAGAGTCTGAGCAACATCACGCAGATAAGGGCACAATCGCCGCCAGTGTCGGGGGCCACCACGGGCTCCGCCAGACCCCAACGCCCGGCGCCCAAGACTATGTCCTCCCTTCCACTGCAGGGCGGATCGGCGGGAATACGTGGCGCCATTGGAATCAGTTGGCTGCTGCCACTGCTCTTCGCCGTGGCTGCCCCCCTAATCTGCAGCATCATTGGCCAATGGCCACGACATTGGTGGCTGGAGGTGCTTTGGCTGCGGGGAGCTGGCTCTGCGGACGTCAAGACAGATGGAGGAGGAGGAGGGGGAGGATCGGAGGAGCTGGATGGCGGCTACTATGCAACGCACTCGCTGCTCAATGGCGATAATTTACTGCTCGAATCGGAGGCACTGCTGGGCAATGGCAGTAGCTCAACGACTGAGACGTCATCGCCCGATGATGTGGCCACATCGGCGTCATCAATCACAGGCGGACACAGCTACAGCTTCATCTCGTCGCACCAGCAGCATGAGCAGCAGTTGCCTGCCACTTGGAGTCTTGGTCGCAGCAGCTCCACCTCCTTTGCCACTTCCGTTTCCGCGCTGGCTGCGCCTTTGACATCCGGTCTGGGCGATGCCACTTCGACATCGTCGACGTCGTCGCCTTCGCTGAGCTTCCTCCTCTTCGCCTGCATCGATTTGCTCTTCATACTGCTCTTCTTTGCGCTGTTTGCCATTTTAATGAAGAAACTTTTGTGGTTGCGGCACAAGAATCGCAATGTGCATACGCATCCGTTGGATAAATTCAATCTGGCTTTGCGCAGGCGGTAAGTTGAAAGGCTCCTTGGATGAGGATAAAAGGGAAACGGGCAGACGAAAGAGACCCAGGGAAGTACTTAGGTCTTAATGGTCCTTTCCCATTTCCATTTTTCCTGTCCCGGCGGCTAATCTGATAAAAAACAGAAGCGAAACAAAACAATCGCTTCGATTCCGATTCGGACTCTGATTCTGACTCTGATCCCTTCTCCGTTCTTCCGTCTAATTTAATATATTCGCACAGCTTTGGATTACTCTACCGAGCCGGAGGACTGCTGCTGGCCAAGCTCTGCAGCGATGGGTGCTTCATCGTTTATGTTAATTCATCACCGGATACTTTGTGGGCATATCCGTTCGGCATATCGTGCATAATATTGGTAAGTTAACGGGGAGCATTATCCCAACATATCCCTGACCCACCACCAGCAATTGCAATTCAATTAAAATATATATAGACTGGGAGCTCACCTGCCGGACTGGGATTACGATTACCATTACGGTTTCGGGGTCGGATGTTTGATTCGTCTCCAAATCCCATTTGTCGCTCCAATTGACGGCGAAACTATTAGGAGCGGATGCCATCAAACATGTTTCCCGCTGAAGCCTGATGCGGATGCCTGATGCGGATGCCTGATGCTGATGCTGCTGCCGAGGCTTATGCAAATCCCATTTCGTTTTTATTTCCGACGACTTATTTAAGTTGCATATTTTATCAAAGTGTAAAGCCTGCATATTTTTACACCTGCCGTTCAAATTATGCATGCAAAATCAGGGAAGAAAGCGAGAGTGGGCCGACCCCGAACTGACTGCATTAACTGCCTGCCTGATCAAAGGAAGAACTGAGAGAAAGAAGCCTTTTCTGTGTTTATTTTGCACTTGCCTTTGACACTTGGCTCCGCCAGTCACTTCACTTTCCTTCACTTCACATCACTTCAATACCCATCACTTCAATCCACGATTACGCCTGCGACTTGCTATTGTTGCCTGTTTATTCCATTTCATGTTGATTTCCTGTGCAAATATAATAAGTGCGCTCCACTTATCCACCTTGGCACTTGATGCGGGAGGCTCTCTATATGGAAGGAACGGACACCTATTTCATTTTTCCATCCATCAGATGGGAATTAAAGCGTTTAACGCTCTGCGCCCGCCCGGCAATCAGCTCAATCCAATTAAATAAACAATTATCTGCACGGGCGGTGGCTGGTGTATCCTTGCAAAACTAATCACATAATTACACGCACACACTTTGATGTGGGAAGCCGTGAAGGCAAGTGAGTGTGTGAGTCCGAGTGTGTTTGTACCACTCGGCGTATACACAACGCGTGCACAGCACATTCAAATTCAAACACAAACAAATTAGGTCGAGCCGCCTCCTCAGATCGCAACCGCAATGTCTACAACCCTCTCGTGTTCTGTTGCTGCTGGTCCGGACTCCGGACTCCGGTCTCCAGACTCCTGACTATTAATGTGCACCAAAATCACTTTGATTGTGTTGGGGGCGTGAGGATGGGCATTAGGCATTGCTCCTCTGTCAGCTTTAGTTGCCATTTAATTATTTAAACACTGGCCCAGTCAGACACAACACAGAGAAAGAAATACAGCCAAGATCGGTCGTTAATCCCCTTCGATTAGTATTCCTTGAGCGCATACCCTTCATAAAGGTTTGAAGTGGTATATGTTATATATCTCAAAAGTAGTTTGTCTCTTTTTAGAAAAGTTTAGAGATTTTTCTCTTAAAAATAATTAATTAATAAATACAAAAAATCTGTTTCGAGTGTGGTAAAATGTGTATCATAGTGAGGACACTCCTTACCCTAATTATACCTAAATTATTCCTAAGCGAAGACTCTTTTATACTTCAATTTTCTTCTAACTTCATACAACTTTACAGGCCATTTAAATTGTATTTCTTTCTCTGCATTACCTCTTCAGCTACTTATGTATCAGGCTCGATATGCTTGTGGAACATGCCTAGCTCCAATTAGTACAATTCGAATCTAAGACTCTTTCGCTAATTTCGCAATTAATTCTGTTTCGAAAATCCCTGCCTGGTGCCTGGAATTCGGTGCATGCCGCCCATAAATTCCGCTCATGAAAGGGGACATAATATAGTCAGCGTGCCGTGTATGGCCCATATGGCTTGGCATCGATTTATGGCCGCCTCTCGGCCATGCATTTAATTTCCTAATCGCTTGGCTTGATTTTACTGTGGAAGAGTGAGGCCACCGTCACCTTGGCTCTAATCGAAGAGGCCTCCCCATAGCTTAATGACTCAATTTGGGGCATGGACCAATCCCGTCGTTGACACACGCATTTTATTAGGGTCAGTCCAGATGGGACCTGCTCGAGAGTTTATGCGGCAATCACTGCAATGATTCAATCGCCACCTTCTCCCTTTGCCAATTTCAGGGCTCGGCCATCCTCATCTGCTTCGTCGTCAAGGCCGAGAGCCAGCTGCGAGGACCGCCCTTCCTCAGCAGCAATGGGAGCAGCCAGAACAGCTCCCTGAAGCAGGCCAAATTCAACACGAGCCGGAGCAGCCTGGACGAGAACTACTGCACCACCACGACGACGGCCAATGTCAACAGTCCGCTGAGCTGTAGGTTCCTGCCAAGTCAATTTGGATCTCCAGCCCAAAAAGCCTAATCCGAATCCCTCTCGCCCCATTCCTCTTGCAGTCTATACCAATCACGACAAGGAGAAGGAGAACGACTGTGCAGTGTCGCTGTCAATGTCAAGCGCAGCCGTGTCCTCCGCAGCAGCCGTTGGATCCTTGGCCTCTTCAGCGGGCTGCGCTCCGCCCCTGCAGCCGAAGGTGGGCCTAGAACTGTCCGGAGCACCAGTCTCCTCCGGCGTGCCACTGCCGTTGACAATCATCTCGACAGCGCCTCGCTGCCAGCCGGGCGCTGATGGAGCGGCGGAGACCTTCCTCGGTGACCACCAGCACCAGCCGCTGCCCCTATCCGTGGCCCCATCACCGGATACCCGCTGCTGTGCGTTGTTGGGCGGCGGACCCGGCTACGATGCCTACACCATGGGAGTGGGCATGAACATGGGTGTGACCGTGGGTGGATTCACTGGAAGCCTGGGCAGGCGGACGCTTCACAGGCAGCCGGCGCAGTACCGAACCGGGCCATGCGGAGAGTTCGTGGGCGTTGAGACGCTCGATATTCTGCAGGGCGTGGCAGCAGGTAAGCTAAATTGGTTATAATGTTAAAAATGAGAATTTCGACATCTGTTCACTTCGAATCTAATTATTATTATCGAAACCAAAACAACCCGAATCGGGGTGGATATACCCAAATGGGCATGCATTAATCATGATCTAGAGTCTGATACTCTCTCTCCCTGCGTCTCTATCCCCACAGACAGCATAATCGGCATTCACACCAGTGCCATTATGCCCACGGCCTCCAGCACTTCTCATTATGTTCCGCTGCAGCATAATCCCTATGTGGACTTCGTGCCCAGTCCCCTAATCCTGAGCATGCCTGCGCCCCAGCTGCCGCCCCCGCCGACCATCAGTGGGAACCTGAGTGGAGCATCCATTACGCCGATGTCTCTGCCCACGCAGACGCCCAAGACGCAGAAGCGAGTGACCATACTGGAGCCTACGTCGCGCACCACCTTCGACCCCCTGCTGCCCACGATGGTGGCGGCTGTTGTCTCCACATCCACGGTCACAAGCACTGCAACAACGACGGCAGCCACACCCACTCCGACGCAGAGTGGCGGAGGGGGTGGTGCTGGCAATGATGCAACGCTGGATCGCATCACCCTCGATCTGGACTACTTGCTCAACAGGGGGGCCATGGATGCCGCAGACGGAGTCGCAGGAGGAGGGCCCCCGGCGCCCACCAGTGATGATGGCCAGCAGAAACAATAGCAATAGCAAGTTGAGAGACATTTATAGGCCAAAACTGACACTAAGATGCATTTAAGAGGCTTCGTTTTTCTCGTGAAGAGCTGTAAATAAGTGTAAATCAAATTTCAAATGGAAAAACCAACAGTAGATAACTCTGTGAATATTCAGATAAGGTTAATATGGACACCCGGGTCTTTTCAATGTGTTATCAGTTGATTGGGAAAGGCAACATGACTTTAGGTCCTACGTTAACAGGCCATCATCCAGTGTTTATTTCGATGTCCTAAAGAAAACATTTAATCTTGGTAAACCATTAAATGTTGGACATCAATCACAACTAAACTCATATAATTAGAATCAAATTTAACTTACCGTCATATGGAAAACCGAATGAAAGAATTTAAACTAACGATAACTTTTTAGCTAGATTTACAAAAGGCCTATTGAAACGACAACACAATGAAAATGACAAACAAATTAATGAGCGAGAACACGGCAAGGCGTGACAAAGTTTTTGATTCCATTTAAAGTTTTCCTAGAAATAAAGCAAAATTAAACCCCATTAAGAAAGAGAAAATAAAAAAAAAAAAAAAAAAACCTACAAAATACAATAATTGTAATACTATTAAAAACAGGACTATTTCTGGAACAAAACAAATTATACAGATATATATCTTTAAATAAACTCAAGACTCTTGTTAGAAAATCTATGAACAAACATGGTTCTTGTTTATGTCTTAATTGGATGTTGTATGGGAGCGTGAAGATGGGATTATTTCAAAATCCCTCCTTGCTCATTGGTGCTTCTTTGGGGTTGTTTCTGGTCATTTGGAGTAAAGCCTGAAGCGACTTAAGCTCCTGAATGGGCTAAGGACCAATTGCAAGGGAATCACGAAAACTAGGTAAGGAATTGTAAGCATTTACTCATTATTATTGACCGTTCATTGGGGAAGAAATGAATTAACTCACTCTTCTACCAGGTATTTCCTATACAACTACATTCAACACTAAACCATGTCGGGAATTATGTCCAACTATCAAAATAAAGCTTTCTGGTAAAGGTTGCTCCTTTCGCATTTTGCTTCTTTACATATTTAATAAATATTAGTTGTATTTTACTTATTTCATACAAGTTATAGCACAAACCTTCACCCTCTCAGTGAGCACTTAAAAGCTAACCACATGACCCACCAGGTAGGTCACATTCTCACTGCGGATGGCAAAGAAAAATGGATGGTCGGCTCGAAAGAATTTCTGGCGGGAGGAGTTGCTGATCACAATGGGTTTATACTCTGAAAACAGGTCAAGAGTGTGAGAGATATGTATTTTTAAGGGCTTACCGAAACTCAATACCTGTTGCAATTCGTGGCTGTTCGGATCCGGAACCAGACTCGTTCAAATTAATGCGCAGCCTCTGGAGAATATCGACCACGGGCAGATTGGCAGCGGAATGCAAATGCTTGAAATTCGCCGACGCCGCAAATATCTCTTCGAAACCAAGCTGCAAATCAAAATGGTTTTTAAAAACCGGCCACCGCAAATACTGGATACTGATTGATTCCACTGACCTGCTTCAATGGCTGCCGCAGACTGCACTCGAAATCGATACTGAATTTGGGCAGCAGCACCTGCACGCCCTCCATCTGCATGCGCTGCTGCACTGCGCCCAAATCCAGGCCACGCAGCTGCTCCACCAGCGCCGCCAGGCCGTCCCTCTGGTTCGGCAGGATGAGCAGCATGGATAGCTCCTCCGCATGCTCGTACGGCAGCTCAATGGCGCGGGCATCCAGGTCCCGCAGCTCCGCGAACTTCACAAACATGTCGTCGTCGAAAAGCATGGCCACCGACTTTGCCTGGTTGCCGCTATGAAACTCATATAGACCCGTCCGGTAGGCGCTGAAAGGCAGGAACCATTTGCTCTGCAGGTTCCCCGCCAGCAGGAGCAAAATTTTGGCCGCGGAACTGCTTTCCACTTGAACCTGCTGCCAACTTCCGCCACCCACGCTGGCCAGGATCTGTTCGCTAATGTGGCGGCGCAGCTTCTCCGTCTGCTCGAGCTCAAAGCACTCGGCTGTGGCATGAAAATAGGTTTGAGCAATCTTCTGAAAGTCCTCGGCCACGCCAGAGCCATCTTTAGACTGAAGCATCAGTCGATTCTGCAACTGCAGTCGGGTATCGGCATCACCCGAGATGTTGGCCAGTTCCGAGGCATAAAAGTTGGCCATTTTGGCATTGCTGGGAAAGCGCTCCTTCAGCCGCAGCAACTTCTGCAACTCCTCGGCCGTGGCTCCATCCGAACCCAGGTAGAGAAGGGCCAGAGTGGCCTCCAGCATGAGGGGGGATATGACCAGGTTCTGATCTGTGTAACTGGTGGCTATGCTGTGATAGATCTCAGCGCTTATTTTGGATTCATAAGGAGCAATGCTCGGAACTGGGTTGCTCGCTTCACTCATTTTGGGCTTTTCGGATCTGTAAAATTTGTAGGATAGAGATTTTATTAATATTTTCTGAACTAAAATTGATGAATATTTAAATATATTTTAATAATTCACTGAACAGCATTCCTTAGTCAACGCTTCTAAATTAAATTTCAATTTATTTCTGACACCTTAAAAAAAAATATTACATTGATTTTTCACCACTGCCCATCACGGCCTGTGTGATATAAATTTATATTAATATTATAGTGGCGTGTTTTTATCGCTTCCACATGGTTGATCTATCAAAAAGTACTTGTTTAGCATAAAAATGCCCTTCGGCATAATGCAAAACACATGTGTGCCAGTGTTTTATGGGCGAGTAAAGTAAACTTTGGCAAATATACAACATATTATTAGCCTCCAACCGAAATGCTTTAAAGAAAACGAAAGCTAAAGAAAATATAGTTGGAAATTATAGTCATTAGATACATTAAATTCTATTTAAATTCACCTTGGCCCTTGAAGTGCATTTTGTAATGAAAATGTAAATTGTCTTCCATTTCATTTCATTTCGAGAGCGAGTGAACAAACAAAAACACACACCAAACACACTGTGTGTTGTGTGCACACACAAAAGAAACGCCTTGAATAAATAAAATGAACAAGAGAGCACACTAGGCCAAACTTGACACTATTTTCGGCAAGTAAACAAAGCGGAAACGCCGAGGCGGAAAACTTTGTGACAGTGCTGCGGCTATATATTTGCGGCAACTTTTAATTTCACGCGAATTTCGGCTGCCGTCTCCGTTTGGTTGTGGCCTGGCCACCACCCACGCCCACTTCCACTCCTAGTCCCAATCTGCCCACTCTACCCCCCTCTATATAGTTTCCCGATCCGGCGGTGCTGCAGCTCTGCATGCCGATTTCTATGCGACGCGCACACTTGCACACTTAATTGCCACATCAACAAACAAAATGCGCCCCCAACCCGAAAACTGGAGAATAAAACGGAACGAAAAGCCGTTTTCCGCTTCAAAATCAAGAGAACCACTACTACAACTGCACAGGAAGAAAAAAAAGTAGACTTGAATAAAGTATATTTCAAAATTTCTTTAGAAAACATTCGTAATAAATAAATACTCTTAACTTTTCCAGGGAAATATTTTGTATATTTGTATATTATTTCAAAATTTTAACTTTTCCAGAGAAATATTCGAAACATTCTTCCGTTTTTAACTTTTTCTGCAAAATATTTAAAGCCTTTACAATTTTCAATTTTGTTTTCCAAATGGTTTTGGACCATAAAACCATTTCAATATCAAAATTCGGACAAGTATAACCATTTCAGTGTACATCCAGTATATCGAGTAGATATATATTTTTTCATGGGTGTACCCCCACTGTCGCTATAAAGTAGCGATGCTCTAGTGCTAGATGTTTCGACGCGGGTTTAGTTTTAGATTTTTAGTCTTGTATTTTTTTAGCGTTGCACTGCAGCCGAATGGCATATGGTGTAAATCCTCTCTCGATTTTCAATGAAGCGTATGAGGTCACAGAATCGTTTTCCAAGTGGCATCATCAACAACAATAGTTTGTTGTGAGAATTTCGAAAAAGAACTACTGCGCCGGATGGGAGTGGATTGCGCCTCTTCTTGACACACACAAGTATTATTTTGAAGATCACAATTTGGTAGTTAAAAAAAATAACTTGGTACACTGTCTTTACCTTTGGCTGAAATCGCAAATAAGACAGGGCGAATAAATATAGTTCAGCTAAAATTATATAAATTTGGTTGCTTTTAGAGATTCATTCACGCCCGCACGCAGCTTCGGACGAAATTCGACTAAACGCTCGCGCTCGGCACAGAAGGAAACCAATTAAATTCGACCGTCTCATCGATGACGACACTTGGGCAACGGAGGCAAAAGCTTCTCCGTCCGGCCACAACTCGGTAGCGCTTCTAATTTTCGGCAACTACTTTTCCGATGCTAAATTTTTAATCTATTTTTATAATTTGTTTGCCGTGAATTTACACAGACGTTCCGGCGAACTGGCTGCACTCGACGTGAATGGAGGAGAGATGTGTTTATAGCGAAGCGCAGATGATGCTAGTGCGGCTCCGGAGGGCACCCTTTTATTGAATGAGTTGTGCTGGGATCGTTGTCCGCCGCTGTGTAGTTGCTGCTTAATCGTTTTATCTAATCTGAAACATTTGAAATTGGGGCCGCTGCTGCTGTCCACTTCTGCTGGTACTTGCTGTGTGTGTGTGCCTGCGGAAGATAGCTCTTAATCTTCCGATGCCGACAAACTGATCCGCTTACCGCCACACACTGCGATTTTAAACACACACAAAAAACATGGATTAACTGGTGCACAACTTTTTGTGAAAAATGTACTCACCGAAACGAAGGGTAGTTTTTAATCTCCCAAGGCTCCCTCTGCAGCATCATATCTACTTTAATTTCGCTGCCAGCGCATTCATTTCCAACTTAATGCCCAAAAATATGCTAAGAACACAGCTTTTTCGGCCATTCAATTTGAATTTTGAAGCAAAGCAATGCAAGCATAATCATTCAAACAATTCATTATTTATTAACTCTGAATACAAATTCATGAATTGGGATGGAGACACTGGTTTGCATGTGTGGGGTTGAGTAATTGTTGTAATGCTTGCGATATTAGGGGATTAAAAGCATATTGTGTATACATAAATAAATACTAACAGCCTAAAAATTATCCGAAATGAGTTCGTAAAAAAGCCCAGCATGCACACATACAGGCAGCGGCCCTGGCATACGGATTCTAGGCAGCAACCTGGTCAGCCCGGTCAGCACAGCTGTCCAGGATATTTGGAGGAGCGGTGGAAAGCCATAGATCCGTGCTGCCAGGCATCGCCGGAAATTTATCACACGCGGTTGTGGGTTTTGGGAGATGTTAACAGAAACGAAAATCATACAAGTTAGTGGTGTTGTGGGATATGGTCTAGTCTTCTACGCCTGTCGGATATCTCTGCCTGTATCGGTCATGCATGCCTCCTAGTGTTTGGGAATGTTTGGGGTCGTTGTGCAATGGCATTGCTAATGGCAATTAAAATGAAGTGTGAGCGCGGTCGCAGGTATAAGGAAACTGGGCGTGTTATGTTCGGCGTGTATGCGGTGAAATTATTTTCTGGATTAGTCTAGAAAGTGTAGCCACCCTCGGGTGCCTTGGGTTGAGTGGCATTGAACTCGAGAGCTCCGTTGACCTCCTGGGGTGCCAGCTCCTGCTCGGCCTCGTCTTCACCGGTACTGAAGTACGTGTCGATAATGGCGTAGGCTTTTTTGTAGACTTCTTCGTTTTCGTGTTGCTGCAGCGTTTCCAGCTTGTCCAGGCCGCCCATCTCCTCGACCATAAGGCAGAGGTTCTCGGTGCCGCCCAACTTCTCGGCCAGAGCAAAAAGATTCGACAGGCCGGTCTGCACCACCTTGATGGTGCGCGGATCCTTGGCTTCCAACAGATCAATAAATGGCTTAAGGATTTTGTACTTTTCAATCAAATCGACGATCTGCTCGGGCGTGCCAGAGGTTGTGGTGTTGGTCACCGCCCAGGCGGCCTCCTTTTGGGCTTTGAAGTCGCCCTTCTCCAGCACATTGCGCAGCTGCTGGAAAATGCCCGCCTGAATCACGGCCTGGATCTGCTTCTGATTACCTGCCGTTATGTTGCTGACTGTCCAGGCAGCCTCCTTAACGATGTTGCTCTTGCTGTGCTGCAGAAGGTATCCCAGTCTGGGCAGTCCTCCAGAGGCAATTACCACATCAGTCTAGGCAATAAGTAAACTTTATAATTGAAGTTCATGAGTTACAGTCCTATATCCCTTACCTGTTGATCAGTTCCAGTCACTATATTACCTACACTACGCAGGGCAGGCACGATTATGCTTGGCTCGTCCATTTGTAGGAGCTTGACCAGGCGTGGCACAGCGTCGGAATCGACCACGGCCTGGATCTTGCTGTTGTCATCGTCCGTCACATAGGACAGGGCCCAGCAGGCATCGGCCAGCACCTGTATGTCCTGGCTTTGCAGCAATTGCGATAGGACTGGCAGTAGACGTTTCACCTGCTCAAACGGCGGCGAGGGGTTCTTGTTCCGGCACAGATTGGACATTAGCCAGACGATGTTGCGCAGAAATGAGAGCGGCGTCTCGTTATTGATTAATGGCAAGATGCCGTCGATGACGTTGTGGTGGATGACTATGTCGCGAGCCGCTGCTCCATCGCCGGCAATGTTGCCCAAGGCCCAAACGGCCTGTTCGGCCAGATTGATGGACTGAGACTGCAGTAGAGCCACGAAATGCGGCACAGCGTTATGCTCGATGACGCAGCGCGTCTGATCGGAGGTGCCGGAGGCGATATTAGTCAAAGCCCAGGCCGCCTCAAACTGCAGCATGGTGCTGGAGAAGGCAGGTACGGATCAGTAGAGCCTTTTCAAGCGTCTTCCCTTAAACCCCATACTCACTTGTTGGCGTTCTGCAGGAAGCGAATGCAAATGGGCACAATGCCGTGGCCGATCATCAGGTCAATGGGCGGATTCCGCTCCCGGCTCAGCATTTTGCGTGCCGACTGCATGCCAATGAACTGGCGCTCCTGGTCCTCGCTGTTCATGGCAGCAACGATCTCGTCGACAGACAGCTGCACCGGCGACTGCCCATTGAGCTCCTTCAGCGGCGAGGTGAGATCCTCGTCGTTGATGTTCCGGCGCTTGAACATCTGGTCCTCCTTCTTGGACTTGCGCAGCTCGATGGTCACCTCATGGCGGCGCATGCGCGAGTCCTACGGAAATGTGAGGTTAGATCCGCCAAGCGGGACTCCCGACGAGATGGATTCTTACCTGGGTGTTGATGGTGTTGGCTTTGTAGGAGCCTTGACGCGAGTTCGAATCTGCCTTACTCATTTTTACGATTTTTGTGCAGTTTCCTTATCAATTATTATTTTTCGTATTCTTTTTTTAATTTATCTGCTACGATGACAAGTTAACGACTGAAAAATAATTTGCAGAAATGTTTTAGGGTGGAAGAAGCAGAGCAGTCGAGAAAATGAAGGGCTGATTTTTGGATTCCCTTTTCTTATCCTCCTTCTCTCCTTCGCCAGAGCGGGCCGACAACAACAAAGCAACAGCTGCAGTACCCGCCATTTGCAGCATCGCAAGGTGCGAAGGATGGTAGGGAGGAGCAGAAACGGAGAAGGGAAACCTCTTTCCCTAGAGGTAGAGGGATCAAGAGCGAAACGCAGGAAAACGGGGAAAAGGAGCGAGAGTGCGAGAATTAGCGAAACGCATAACTGTGACCGGCGGAAAGACGGACAAAAGAGGACTCCTGAGGGCACCTCTCGGAAAAACACACACACATAAACTTACCTTCACGTGCCCTGTATGCGTGAGCTGGCTTTTGGGCTCTGTTAAAATAAATTAACTACAAAGAGAATTTTGACGAAATTTCACATTCAGCTTTTTGTGTTAACTCATTGGAAGCCGGTAAACTTGTGGCAAAACGACAGCACGAATCACAAGACGAGGCGAAATTGGTCTCAATGCTTACTTGATCACCGTTTGATTTGAAAATCAAGCCCTTTTCTGAGATCGGCGCTGCCAACTCTTCGGGCTGAAAAAAAGCTTTAAAAGCTTTTTAAAAACGCTAGAAAAAGCTGAAAAAATCTAGACTTTTAGTATTATTATTTAGTTACAGTTTTTTGTAAGAAGTTATAATTTTGATGGAAACATTTTATTTAATGTACAATTTTAAGTCTAAACTTTATCGTTATGGTTTATTTTATAGATTGTCACACAATTAGCATCTGAATATCGCCAGATCTAGTGAAAAAATAGCTAAATTGGCAACAGTGGTTTGAATTATTGCGCCGATAAACACCAATCGGAAATGCACATAATATACTAGAAACATATAATATACTAGAAACAAATATCCAAAAATAAATGAAAAAATAACTATACTATTTATTTATAATTATAAATAATAAATAATTATATCGTTTTTCAGTGATCACCGCCTGGCAGAGAAGGGCGCTACCTAAGCGAGTGGAATGTGGACTTTATTTTGCCCGACCCTCGCACAGATTCCACATCGCTCACATTCAGCGTTTGCTGAATCTGCAAAGTAGCTTTAACGGTTTCCGGAAATTCAAATGTGAATTTAGCAGCTCATGAATAACTTGTCATATAAATAAAAAAAAATTTATTTTTTAAATTATATAAGCCCTAGAGCAACGTTCTCTTCATATTAACGAAAAAAAAAAACAATTCAAGCAAAAGAAGCAATAAAAAGAAGCGAATATTTGCTTTGTTTTGTTATAATAAAATATTAAATAAGTAAATTTCTAATATTTTAATAAGTTGTAATGAATTTATTAAATATTGGCCTAATAGTGTTATTGATTTCAGATAGAGGTTTACGCCGATGGTTAAAGGCATCGGCGGCGGCGTAGAGGTCAAAATGACTCGGCGGCGGCGGCGTAGTAGTCAGAAAGAACCGGCGGCGGCGGCGCGTCAAATAAGGCAAAAAGGCCATTTTAATGAGTTATTTATTTTTTTTAAAGTTTTATAAAGAACAATGACACTGAAGGCCGCGCTGAAGCTGCGCCGATGCCGCACCAGCGGCGCGCCGCGGCGCGCCGTTATTTTCATAATTTGGCGGCGGCGCGTCAAATAAGGCAAAAATCGGCGGCGGCGGCGGCGTGGCGCGGCGGCGTATATGTCTAATTTCAGAGCGAATAAAAATAATTTATTGTGGTAATTATGCATTAATTAGCTTGATATTAAAATCCTAAAACATATTACAGACAAATTACAATGCATTAGTAAAATGTGACATTTAATTCGAATTTTTTAAATCACCCAAAAAAAGAGTTTTAACCTCGCGGCTTTATTTTAAAGCCAATCAAATGAGCGACAAACAATTTACACAGGATTCCCCTTTTTTAACTTAAATAAAAGGCGTGTCCTGGCACTAATACCATTAAATCTCTCGTTTATCAATAATAGTGCAATAAATGCAAACAAATGCAGTTAATGCCCGTTTAACCGTGTTGTATTTATGTATGGGAATGCTATAAAAAACAACATTTTTTTGTAAAAGAATATTTTTTAGCAGTTATTACTCAGAAGCGGTTTAACTCCAGTGTTTGTTTTTTTGTGTTTTTGTTTTGTTATTTTTTTTTTAACCCACTTGATGATAAATTTCTTGTTTAATCTATTACGAAGACTAAAGGGAATCAATTAATTTAATTGTATTACAATAAAAAAAAAAAACATCAGGTTGTCAATTATAAATGGGAAATAATTTACTAGCTTAAGCTTGTACAATTTTCAACTCATTATTTTAAATGGGAATTATTCTCTCGATTTCGAGTTCTATGGTAAGTCCAATTGCAAACTGCAAGGGTATACAAACATCGAAATTCCAAAGATAGCTTTCTTTCCTGTGTCCAAAAGATTTAAACCATAATTCACAATTTTAATATATATTTTCGAAGTTCGTTTAACAGTATTTCCAGGCACAAAGCAATCTAAGCCGATTTCTTGGTCTCCTCGGTAACTGGAGCCGCGGTGGTGGAGGTGGTGCTGCTGGCTTCTGGAACGGAACGTGCCTCCACCACATCGGAGTCATCGCTCTCGGGCGCGGGAGCTGGCGAGAAGGGAGGGAACTGCTGATCCTGGGGATAGGTCTGCTGCTGCTGCTGCTCCTGACCCTCGTTGTAGTCGATGGGCGTGGGTTCCAGCTCTGGGGGAGTGGCCACAGGAGCCTCCACAACCTCACCCTGCTGCTCAGCCACCGGCTGCACCTGCTGCGGAGCAAACACTTGCTGGTGGGGATAGTAAATGGGAGATTGGAAGGACGCAACAGGAGCAGGAGCAGCCACAGCAACAGGAGCAGGAGCAGCCACAGCAACAGGAGCAGGAGCAGCCACAGCTACAGGAGCAGGGGCAGCCACAGCCACAGGAGTGGCCAGAGCTCGGGCAGCCACTACTGGCTCTCGCTGGACCACAGCGTTGAATCCATTGATGTCGTCGGCGGTGTAAGTCACCGTGCGCTTGAAGCCATCGGCATCAAGGACGGAATAGGAGCCCACTACATTGCCGCCGTCACGAGTCTCCACCTGGCTCTTGATATCCCCGGTGATGCTATCGTGGACGCCATAAGAGAAGTCATAGCGCGGCGAGGACTCGTACTCCACCTGCTTCAGGACAGGAGCAGCGACGGCCACGGGAGCCACAGTCTTAACCACTGGCGCCGCCACGGGCACGGGCAGAGGAGCAGCCACTGCTGCCTTGACAAACGGAGAGGGCACGGCGTAGGCCTTGGTGTACAGTGGAGCAGCTGCCGGGACCACCGTCTTGGTCAGAACGGGTGCCGCCTGGTGGTAGACAGCCGGAGCATGAACCACTGGAGCAGCATGATAGACAGCCGGAGCCTGGTAGGTGGCGTAGGCAGGATGGTAGCCAGCGTACGTGGCCGCGAAACCCGCACGACAGGATCCTGCAATGGCCAGGATGAGGGCAACGCCAGTCAGGAACTGTGGGAGGAGGAGAGAGAAAGGGATAAGAGAACGCTTTCAAGCCAATTGACAATTCCTAATTGAAGGCACTTCAGCAGAAGCTCCTCCGTCACGCTGTCGCAGGCAATTAGTTTTGAGCACAGGAAATCAGTTTAACTCGAGGGAACTTATTGTAACTCCAAGGAAAGGAAGTAGCAAATTTGTTACTTAACTTTAATGGGAGTTTGCTTTTTTCACTCTTTTTTTATTTTAGTTTTTCGAGGAGTTCATTTAATCTTTATATCAAGTCGGTAATAATTGTGTGGCTTTTAAATCTTTTTAAAATGTTACGTATGGATTTACGCAGTAGAAAAAGAAATAAATGTAATCCACAGCCAAACAATTTCTCTCGAAAAATGCATGAGTTTAAATAGAACAAAAGTTATATGAAAATAATGCTTTAAATACAAATAAAATCTTTACAAATAATAGCTATGTAGCTTAGTACTTTTAAAGGCTATAAAAATCCATCTCAAATTGAAATGTCTTAAAAACTCCATGCATTTTGATTTGCAAAAATTCAACTTACTTTGCCTGCCATTGTCAAAGTGGAATTACTTCCTTTGGACTTGAATTGCTCGAGGACGAGGTCGGAGTGGCACGTGCCGCACAGGAAACAGGTACTACGATTGGCGATTGAGAAGTATATCCGCTTGGACTGGACTCCGTGGACTCCACTCCTTGACTCTGGAAGCGACGTTGGACTAATGATGGCTACCACTCCCGGCGCACGTCACTTTATATGGCCAGGCGTCAGAATTGGCCGCTCCAGAAGTGGCGCCCTGAAAAGAGATCCCAAGAGCAAACCGGTACCAAGTACACAAAGCTATCTCAGAGGTTGACAATTTGACAATTGCGGGCCAGAAACTGGTTTTCTTTTGGGTAATAATTTGTCTTCTTGTCTACAGTTTCTCCTCTCGTTTTGGTTACGGTTTCGGTTTCGGTTTCGGTTTAGATTTCGATGTCAAGTTCAACGGAGTCTCGATGCTTCCTTGTAGGCCTACCCACCGACGGCATTGCCATTGCCCGTAATTAATTGCGATTTGAGCGCCGTTCAATTAACTTCTCAATTGTCAACTCAGCACCTTGCGGGCATTACATCACGGCTGGAGTTCCATCCACTCGACAACACAAACGCTCTGTTTTTCTTGGCGACATGCGCGCCGATGGAGCGCGAAATTTGCTGCCAGCGGTGGCCCCTCCCCTAACACTCCAACTCCCTGTGATCCCCCTAATCCCGCTCTTGCTTCGTATATATACAGGTGAGGCACTTGGAGGAACTAGCGCCTTGAAGGCTGGAATATATTCTTTAAATTATCCTTAAGAAGAGACAACAGTAAATTCAGGTCAATCTCAAAGGATAATGTCAATGAATGATTTAAGGATTAAAACACCTTTAAAATCAAAATCCCTTTAACGAAATACTTTAAACTATATTTCCCTTAAATAAAATTACATTAAACTACAATTATTCCCCATTTGAGCGCCAATTTTTATTCTTAGTGTATCGGTGACTTGTCAGCGGAATCCACGCTTTTGTATGTCAGAGGCGTTTGCTCCATTGGCTGCATGATTTTTCAGTTTTCGGTTACGAGTGTTTCTCTCTTTTTAGAAAATTTATTATTGCTCCATTTAACCGATGTTTACCTTATGTCCCATTGAGGGGTGTCGGTGTCCCACATGCAGACATTGGCACAGTTTCACATTGTTTCGCACTTGGAATTTGCCGGAGTAAAAACACAGGCCGCCTGGCTAAAGCCGATTACTAATTGCAGGGCCAAGTGCCCGTGCCCATGCTTCAAAGGAGGCCCGAAAAATGTATGTAGGTTATGCCGGCACCAGGAAGAAACCGTGCATTGGGTCATTGAAAATGGGTCTTAATTAATAATAATACCCGAGAACCGAAGGTTGACCCAAATGGCTTTTCTTAGAAGTGCCCACCCAAAAATAAAAAAGTTGTCAACTCATTTGAGCGGTTCGAATTGTGGTAATTAAGCGCCTTCAAGGAACCCGCCGCCGCCGCCGCCGCAGCCGTCACAATTGTCTCCGGCTGGGAGATCGCCGTTCAATGACTCCCGTCCGTCCATCAGTCCATCCGTAGCTCTCCGCAGCTGAAACTGAAAGTGCGTGGAGCGGGTAGCGTCCGTGAGCTGGCTTTGGGCCATAAACATCCGATTACAGCGTCCGAACACGTAGCCCCGAGCCATCAAGATGCGTAGGCAGACAAGAGACACACTTCGGGGCACATCCACGTCTGTATTTACTTATATATATGCATATATCACTCGCCTGAACTTGAAAAGTCTGCCAACGGGAGAATGGCACTCTGGGGTTGAATGGTTGGGCGATGGCCCACCTGCCTTAACCCTCTAACGCCCAGGACACGCCCCACATAGGGGGCCCAGAGAGCTCACGCCTAAAAGAGTCTGTCTCCTGGACTGTTTTTACCCCACTATAAAAGGCAACCAAGCGAAATACATTCTCCGCATTTCGTGACTTCAAAAGACTGTGGAGGAAAATCAATTTCCATTTTAGGGTATTTTTAAAACATAATAAACTACAAGGGACTAAAATATTGTAATCGAAATAAAAATCATCACTAAATAATATCAAATTTTTTTTAGCTTATATCAACACGTTTAAACCTAACTAAAACCTTGAACAAAAAATATTTTTAAATAGTAAGTTTTGTTTTTAAGGCTCTTTATTTTGTTACAGTGCAGATAAAACTAACCGCGCTTTACTTTTAATTAATTTAGGCTTGCGTGTCTGAGGGTTAACGACGTGCCTGTACCAACGAACCCTTCCCTGGTTCCAACGACCGTCTAATTGAGGAGCCACCGCGAGAGGCGGAAATTGCACATCAATGCCAAAGGGGGCGGGGGGTGTCGAGGTAAACCCTGGTGGATCGGGTAGAGCCGGGTGGGTCAGGGACAGAGACAGGACGTCAGGTGGAATCACTTGCCTATCGGCGTGGCAATTAAAATCGAACGTGTGCGGCTGGCCAGGAAGCCGGAGAGGGAGCCTGCCTGGAAAGGACCCCTCCTTCCTGGCATTTGACATTTCGACAAATACTTAACACTGTTTACCCGACTTAATAAACCCGCCTTCGTTGACTTTGCGCCACCGCAAAGGGGCGACGGGGTCTGGGTGCCAGCGGTATGGCAATGATTGATTGCACGTTAAAGCCGTAGAGCATCACATCATTTCCTTTTTACACTTGACAGGAAATGCATTTTTAGTTGGCACTGGGCGAAATGAGCATCGGTGTGCGCCGTCCGGAAGAGGAGCTGCTGGGATGGGGGACAGGATGGGATAGGAATAGAACGTGGAGGAAACGGAAGGTGTACGTATGCAAAGAGAACTCACAGTGCAGTGGGTGTTCGGAACGGGATGGGACGCAAATGCAAATGCCGAAGCTATTGCTAAAGCTGAATCCGACTCCAAGTCCCGAGAAGCACTACCTGCCCGTTTTCACAGACAATTTACACAAGAATCACACAAATACCCGTACGTAAACATTTTGTGCGAGTCTGAGCTCGGCCATTGAGCAAGCCACTCGCTCGGAAAGCCCGTCCAGGTGCAAATGCTTTTCCCACTTGTATTTAAGCTGCCAACTTTTTGGTAACAGAGAAAAGTGCATTATCAATATGGCAATCTCCAGTTTTCATATTTTTGCCTCATTAGCAAATGGATCTTAAACATATCAGCACAGATAAATAGATTGTGTTAGACACAACACATTAAAGTGCAACTTAATAATTCGTTCTTATTGTTTTTACTGTATTGTACACTGATAAAAAAAATAAAATCTTCTTTTGAGATTTTGCGCATTCTTAATTTAAAATCTTACTATAAGACCAAAAATTCTAGAAAGGAGATTTTTCAGGGTATATTTACGAACAAAATAATCTACTTTTAAGATTTGCACATTTTTCAAACAAATTTTTTTTTTTTCTTAATTTAAGCCTTGTTATGGTAATTTTTTAAGATTTTCGGTCGTTTATCGTTCTTATTTTAAACTTTTTTAAGGATTGAAATAATATTTGAAAAATCTCAAATGTAGAATGAAAAGTACTTAAAAGATGACCGAAAATATCCAAAGAAGACCAAAATATGCTTAGGCCATTTTCGTAACCGAAAAATCTCGTTTTTATGACCAAAATTCTTGTTTTTTTTTATCAGTGTACTGTCTCCATTGTCCCCCTCCGAACAGGATCTCCTCCGGTATTCTAAGCCAATTAAGTGTTAATTTTCAATGCTGGAATGGCCTATCGATCAACATTAGAGAACCCCGAGCGTATAATCACCTTTCCGCATTCTGTGAATGAAGTACACACGCTGGCACACCGGGCGGATACGTAATTGCCGCCCCCTTCGAAACCCCGCCGGATAAGACAAACGACCCGGAGCAAATCGCTGGCGACCACGCCCCCTGTATACCCCTGCAATCCCCGCCAGCCATTAGCTGTGACCACGCCTTTGTTTGACGCCAAGATGCCGACACTAACAACAAATGTCGCCCCAGCCCCATTAATCCATCAAAATCGGCGTTGAAGCTAAAATCAAAATATGCGCCGGCGGCTACGGAAGGCGTGTACATATATATATATATATATATATATATATATTGTATAGATGTGGGGAAGAATGGATTGAAGGGGGTTTCCCGTGAAGAACAACAACAGGAAAGCATAAAATAAGTACTCAAAATACCTAGAAATTCGCAGTACCTCTAAGTACAAAATATTGATGCAAATTTTGTTATTCTCTTTAAACGGAAGCTCTGTCTAATCCCAAATTTGATTGCTTCGGGGACCGCTCGAACCCCTTCGACACTCAATCTCAAATCGACAAGACAGGCGACCGCAATTTCCAGCGGGTGCACAAATAAAGAAATTAATCAATTTAACGATACGATTAGGGGCGATTCGCTGCAGGGGCGTAGCTGGGTTAATCAGATACTTGCCAAGATAATGATGTAAAAAACAAGGAAGTATTCTGAGCGGAAAGTCAAGGCAATTTTTGTTTATAAATAAATGAAACAAATAATAAAATGAAAAAAGGATTTGGAAACGTGGTGTCATAAACCTATTATTTGTGTACTGCGTTTTAGTTAAGTGTTCACTATTTATTTTTATATTCTTTAAAATATTATATGTTATATATTTCATTAGGGAAGTTGCATATTAATAAATACAAATATTAACTTTTTAATATATACATTTATAATTAATTAATTTAAAATGCTTAAAACCCAAAGAGATGAACGATTACTAAACCTTAATCTTCTTAAAGACTTACAAAAATTGCTACAACGACTTTACCAGGGAAACTTATTTCAATGTAAAATTAATAGTTATATTGTTCTATTTCTTAGCCCCCTTTAACACCCCTTTGCCAAAGCCCCTGGACCAGGAGCTATTCGCATCAAGGCGAGTGTGCCGCCAACTGACGTGGCATTTGTCTGGGGCCGAGGCGAAAAAGTGACTCGAGTCTGCTGCTCGCTTCTCGGTGATTTATTTCCATTGATTTTTTACCCAACAT